GACAAAATTGTCAGCTAGGTTGGTCAGGAACCTGTTTGATCTCCCATTTGATGCAGTTTGTCTCCCAGTTGATGTCAGGATAGTTAAACTCAACCTGGTTAGTTTCCTACACACATTTATTAACTGTAGCAAAAAGTTCAATTTTTTTCCTCTGAGTTGGGTGGCCTGTGACATCATTCTTTTTTCTTTTTATATTGACCCACATGTATTCTAGGAGGCTTTCATCCTTGGTTTTATGCATTCTGGAGAAGTGTACATATAATGTAATTCCATCTCCTCTTTTGGAGATATGTGTTGGCTCTTCTATTATTCACATTATCACAGAATTGGAAACTAACCGTTATCACTTCAGTTAGTGATAATTAACTAATTCAATTCCAATTACACCTATATCTAATTAACTGTTTTTCAGCCATTGATTAGCCAATCCTGGTACTGCTGAGTGGCTGTGAAAGAAGCCCCAAACCACAGCCATAATAAAGCCATACTTTTTTTCACCAGGATGCTAATAAGATACTTCAACACAAACTGTGATTTCAATATGGAATCTTTAAAGTGCATTATTCAATACATTCACTTGGGATATACAGTATAAAGTCAAAATAACTTTAACATGGATTACATGCCTTTAAAGTCTTTGCAGAAATATTTTTCTGCTTTAGAGAACAAAGGATAGATACCTAAGAGCCATGGTGGCGCAGTGGTTAGAATGCAATTCTGCAGGCTACTTCTGCTGACTACTGCAATTTGGCAGTTCAAATCTCACCAGGCTCAAGTTGACTTAGCCTTCTATCCTTCCAAGGTGAGGTCCAAAATGAGATCCCAGATTGTTGGGGGCAATATGCTGACTTTGTAAACTGCTTAGAGAGGATTGTAAAAGCACTGTGAAGCGGTATAGAAGTCTGACTGATATTGCTATTGCTACCTCCTCCTGCTTCCCATACATTAGGCTAAAATGTAATTCACTAGTTTATAATTCATTGAGTTGTAAAAATCCAGCCTAATTTAAACAGACTTATCTGATCTAGAAGAGCAATATTAGAGTGCAAATTTACCAATCCACCAGCATTCTTCCCATAATAACCAATCAAAATGAAGACTAAAAGGAAGGCTTAGAGGAAAACAGATCTTTTTTCCTATTGCTTCCCAGCAATGGTATTTACAAATTATGTCACTACTGATACTGGCAACAGCAAAAAACTTTATGAACAGAGGCCACTGACTGCATTTATATAATGGATTGAATAATGAATGGTCCCAATGACATTTTAGCCTAGTGTATTGAATGAACAGATCTAGTTTCATGGGCCAATGCAAATATACCAAATTGATTCAATTGATTCAGTTATGATTAAATTACAAATATATCATGCAAACATAGTAAGAGTCTCCATGAGTTTGTCTAATTCCTTTTCAACATTAGATTCAAGTTGAAGATGAAAATTCTATACTTTTACTATATATCAGGCAAAGGAATTCTTTCTTTTGCTTATTCTGGATATCCCATTGCTCACCTGTAGTGCATAGCACACTTCTACAGTATCAAACCTTACTAAATAGAAGCATACTTAACATTCTGTTCACATTCACCTACGAGATGTCTCTTTGGAGCGCTTTGAAATTCATTTCTATCATCCTGATGTTATCACTGCTCCCTAACTATATTTGTAAATAAATTTAAAAACGCAGATCTCAAAATTATTGAAGCTATTTTTTTAACACATGTAACAGAGTGTTCATAAGAGAACCCTTCATCTTTATTCATGAATTTGATGTTTTAGTGAGATTTTGTCAAAAGGTTTCTAAAAGCTCAGAAGGGTTCTTTCTGCATCTGTGAACTACCACTATATTATTAGTGCAGATAAAAGAAACTAGAATATTTTGCTACCCCAAATATTATTTCCTAATATAAATATATCTGAATAAGCAATGAAATCCGAGGAACAATTATTTATTAAATTTATATGCCAACCATCTCATCAATAAAGCAACTCTGGCTGGTTTAATACCCTGAATCCCCTCTTTAATAATATTAAGGCATCCAAACTTTCACCTTAAATTGAGAAAGTTATCTTATGCCATACCATGGGATGCCTTGCCTCCTAATATGAATCCATTATTTTTAGTACATTTATGAAATACTCTGATTGAAGTAAATTCTTGCATGTCACGATGGTCCTAGTATATTGTAAAGAGAACCTGTGAAAAAAACCCAACTTTGTTCAAGGCTGCAGAGGAAAAAGATCATTTCAAGAGTTTGAAATTCTTTAGATGATGATGTACGTGCTCCTTCTGGTAGGGACGGAGGGCAATGCAAGTAGCTATGTTTTCTGGTTGTTCTATCCAGACTTTATGATCAATGCCATTCTGTTGCAGTCTCTCTGCTAATGTACTCAAGGCACACTCATCTGGAGCCTAAGAAGAAAAAAAATCTCAGTGCAATATAGAATCAAGTATTGCTATAGCATTCATTTGTAGCCTCTGTCTTGCTAAAGCTAAAATGACCAGCAACCCACAAAATTATCTGGTTAACTGAAAACTGCAAAAAACACCAACTGTACTTTTTATAGTAAACTCTAAGAAACTGCTGTTTTGAAGATAATTATCAAAGATGGCAATAACCGCAAATCTAAATGTACTTACAACAAAGATCCAGTCCATACAAATTTATTGAATTATATATTGTGCTGTGATGCATAGGCTGTAATTGGGAAGAAATTACAGGTGTCACTGCATCTTAATGGATTAGCAACTGGTGACAAGTGTTTTATATACACACACACACACACACATATCTCCCAGGAGCTCTTGAAGCAGAATATGCATTAAAGGTAGCACCACACAGATTTTATCTGTCCATTCCTTTCCTCCATCACTTGGATATAATCAATGCTACAATGCAAAGGCTTGGATCCAAATGCCCAATTTCCTGAATGCAACTTTGCTAATTAGAACCCCCTAATTCACAAAGATTTGGGGGTTTTTCCCAGAAAATGGGGGGGGGGTGATTATGTTGAATTCCAAACTGATCTATTAGATTACAGAACATCATGGCCAGAAATCTATGTATTTATTCAATAATCAGATTGCATTTCCATTTATGCTCTTGCTATTCCCTTTTACGGTTAAAGCCCATTCTAGAAAAAAAAATCAGTAGTCTGATTGGTCAGAAACCCTTTTCCAGTACAGTAACTGTCCTCCAAAGCAGCACCTGTTTAGGCTTGCGAAAACAGAAACAACTGCAAATCTAAATGCACTTACAACAAAGACCCAATCCATACAAATGCATTGACTTCTATGTCTTAATATTGTGCTGTGATGCACGCTGTAATTGGGAAGAAATTGCAGATGTCTCTGCATCTTCATGGCACTTTCAAGACTAACGTCTCAACCCAACCGGTTGAAAATGAGGAAAAAACAACAAATATAGGGAGCATCGGTTTGGCGAAAAGTTCGTTCGCAGAAACCAGGATCACGCACGTGAAACCTTTTAAACAGCAGGTTTCTTATTCGCAGTTTAATACAGTAGCATCCATACCACCAGTTTTGCAAGGCTGGTCTGTGGATTTGAAGGTTTTGTCTGCGCTCTTAATGAAGCGCCTATCCAAAGACCCCAGTTCTCTGTGCCTGTCAATCAGCAAAGCCCACCCAAAGGGAGTCGTCCTGTCAGCTAGGTTGGTGTTCCTCAAGCTTGACAAGTTGAAGATGGGGGGACTCCAATTCCCAGAATTCCCCAGCCTGGCTGGGGAATTCTGGGAATTGGAGTCCCCCCCTCCCCGAATCTTCAATTTGCCAAGGTCGAGAAACACTGTTAGTTAATGCTCACCTCCAGCACCACGGTCCTCATGCTGCCATCCTGGGCTAGATAATCCACGGTGTCTGGATGCTCGTAGTACGCGTGGACCACGGCCAAGGCCGCGTGGCAGGCCTGAGCCACCGAGGCCCCCAACGGCCACGAGAAAGGCTCGCGTAACAAGTCGCCCCTCAGCACCACGTATTGCACCAAAGAGCGCCGCACCGCCGCCGCCATCCTCAAGCCGGAAATTGGGTCGTTCCTTAGAGGAGCTCTGGGGAAAGATAAACAAAGCGAGCCGCCCCGTTTCCGTACAAGAGAACCATCTAAGATGTGGAGTTCGCCATCTTGTTGTACGGCATGAGGCAGGAGGGCTCACTCGCGAGTCATTTCGGGAAGAAGGAAAAGTCTCGCTCCGGTGTCCGGATGACGTACTTCCGAGTGCGGTGTGTCGTTGCTAGGCGGCGGGAGTTTTGAATCCATTTGAGGCGACCATAGTGAGTTTTTAATTAGGCCCGCCAGGCAGGTAGGCAGGTAGACCTGCCTCATGAATTTCTCTCCCGTGAGGAACAGATAGAGCCCGGGCTGGCCAGTCCGATCGTCTCAGCAGCTTTAAAAGGAGACACAGAAACCAAAGCGAATCGGTGATGGGAACAGCTTACGTTCATTCGCCACACAATTCCCGAAAATAATTTCCAGGCTCCCTGGTTTCGCTCTATTTTCACAATTCTTAAAGAGTGTCGGCAGGTTCCTTGCTGCCTTTTCCTTAAATGAGGTGCTTAAACTAGGAATTTAAATAAGTATAAAATATAATGAGAAACAGCCAGGCTTCCAAACGTGTTGATTTCTGAATTGAACTGTAATGCCGGTTATTTTCAACAATTCTTCTGGCTAAGGGTGGTGGGGATTATAATGCAGTGCATTTGGGTGGCAATGGGGAAATGGACCGATATGGTTATACTGGTGTTGATATTTAAAAAAAGACTAGGCACCGACTGAGTTAGGTAGTAAATCATGTAAAGCAACCTAGCTGTTTAAATCATGGGGTTTTTTTTTCTTCTGAAAATGATTAATTTTCTTCCAGAATTTAACGTTTCATTATTGAAATTCATTAAGCCATTCTTTCTGTTAAAATTCTGCAGGAACCTGGGGAAGTTGTCCCCCTTCTAGAACCAGAGAAGAAAATCTTGTGGGATTATTATTTTGACTTTTTTAAAAAGGAATTGAAAGTAAAAAATGGACAAAATTTCCTTTTCAAATGGTAAGTTAACAGGCAAATACTCTGTTCTAGTTAAAAATGTTTAAAGGACGTGAGATAGACACCCTTACAGTATTCACTGGCTTTTCTATAAAGTGCTGCTTATCAGAATGGAAGATCGAATTAATGCTGTAGTCTGGTAATTTATACTGAACAATTAAAAAGCCAATGTAGCTGATTCTTTACTCTGATTAGCTGAAGAAATTCTGAAGATTTGGGCAATTGTCTAACTATAATTATGTCTTAAATTAATACACTGCCTGTCTAACATCTAGAATTATAACTTGTTTTAAATCCCAAACAGACATAAAAACATGTCTACATATAAACATCAAGACAAGAAACAAATAAGTTCAATATTTTTATTGTACTTTATAAAAGATATTTTCATTTATAAAATATTCATCTGCTTACTGCTTTGACTTGTGCACTACTTTAGAAGTTTTCAGAAAATTTAAATATATTTAAATTATATATAATTATAAATATATACATAATTACATGTAATATACTTGATACAGTGAATCAATTCCATAAAGGCAGTTAAATAAATTTTATAAAATCTTCATGAGAAGAAGATAATTTTGCCTGTCACCTGGGAGATCACAAGAAGACTACCGTGTTAATATTTTTAGCAAGAAATCACATGTGAGCATCATTACAGAAAAAGCCCTTTATGGAGTGAAGTACCATTGAAGATTGTCATAATACTTTCTATTCCTAATATTGGATGGCCTAGAAGCTAAATTAAATTGTTAAGGAAACTCATGAAAGTTATATATCCTATTTTCCTCTTACTGGAAAGCTTATTCAGCAGGGTCACTCCTCTTATATAATGGAATTAAGCTGAAGGCATAATAGTGTATATTGTATAGGATGGTGGTATAAAGAAAAGTAGTTCTGTAGTTAGCTTACAAATCAAGTTTTGATTTGCCATGGTTCTCTCCTCCAGAAGCATGTTCTGTTCCCCAAGCTTTCTAGAGAACATTTGAATATTTGTCTGGAATGGTATAGGGCTTCTGTCCGAGCAGGGGGTGGACTAGAATATCTCCAAGGTCCCTTCAAACTTTGCTGTTACATTATTCTGAAGCCAATAGCAGGAAGATGAAAAGATAGGAAACTTTTCTTCTGTGAACCATTCTTAGGCTTATTGTAGGCTTGAAGCCAATGTATGGAATGGTGCCTTTAATCTTACTAAAAGTCCCTCCTGGGGAGATGTCTTGGAGCCTCTGTTTATAATCAGCAAATAAGAATATATATATGGAAGATTTCCCCTAAATTTAGGTATTTGATTGACCCAAGGTTTTCCTCTTGCAAGTGTATTCATTATTTCACACTAGATTGAGTGTTGTGAAGAGTAAAGTGGTTATTGTAAGAATATGTCTTGGAACAGATTTTGCATTTCAGATATTGACAATGTTCAAAACTGTCTCCATTGTATTCTTTATGGTTTGGCTGATTATCTTGTAGTTCTCAGATAATTAGCAACTCCTGCACACAAATAACACACACTTGAATCTAGAAAATTTTCAAGAAGTAATTTCTTGAATTAATTGAAAATAGTAGATTTTTGACTACAAGTGTATGTGTTTATTTGTTCAGTTTCTATAGCACCCATTTCAATTAATGACTCTACGCCACTTTATTTCTGTTTGTGAAGATGATTGGGTATGATTCTTATATTAAAGTTTTGTTTGTTTTCTTTGCCTGTACATATTCTTTGCAGGTACATTATCTCATTTGGAAACGTTGGAGGCTTCTGCCCACAATGTAGCACTGAAACAAGAGAAAATAAGGGAACATGAGGAGAAGATATTGAAGATGAAAATGAAGATCCAGGAGCTGAGAAACCAAAGAGATGAGTTGAAAACCAAACTAAATGTTTGTCAGTCACAGGTGAGTGTGAAGTATATGTTGACATAAAGACAACATAGGCTGGATTCTTGTTTAAGGGCTGGCAGAATATAAATCATGAAGCTGAATTACTAAGCAAAGTTTTGTCTAAAAGGATAAAATTATATAACTTGAACTTTAACAGAAGTCAAAACAGCTTTTAAATGATATAAAACTCCAAGGAAAATGAGCACATATTAAACAATTTTCTAAACATTTCTAGTCTGATAATTCAGTTCCAATAAAGGAGAATATTTGATAATTCAGTTATATTAATCCAATTCTGTAAAAGAGGTGGGTGTAGGTATTGTTTCTATAAATGCCTTATTTCTTGAGGCATTGTGATTTCTGTTTCTGACTTGAAATTCTTATATTGTGTTAATGTGGTATCCTTATTTATCAGTAATTGTATTTTGCTTAATTAGCTATATTTCTCATTTTTCATAGTACATTGAACTACAGTATAAATAAGCCATGTGGTGTGGGTTGTGCGCCACACTAGGGGGAAATTGGGGTAGCTAGTAACTGAATCAGTGTGTAATAATGTGTAGGCTTTGTGCTATACTCTCTAAATTCATTGCCCATTAATGCATAATACATTTGTTGCCATTGGTGGATATCTCCTTGTAATTATAATTAAAAATGTACTTTATGATAAATCCTGGGAAATCAGATAACTGAACAAAAAGTTGTCCAATGGTTACATTAATCAGATAAAATGGAAATTACACTGCAACTCTCTTTTTTTAGACAAGGAAAACATGTGTTATCCTTTTGAGCAATGAATTACAATTAATTTACTTGTATCATTGTCATGTAGTGTATGAATTTGTACTTGGCTTAGGAAAAGTTGTACAGAACATTTTTTTACTGTCACACAGCCTGTCAAATATTGGAAGGAACATGGTTCTGAACACATTTTCCTTAAAACTTCCTTTTAGTAGAAGTAATGGGTGTTTCTGGGCAATATAGACTTAACAAGCTATAATCATTGAGCTGTAACTCTCCTGTTCTTTTGTAGTCCACTCCAGGCAAAGATGCTATGAAAAACAGTTTGCCAGTTTCTAAGGCTACAGCGAAAAGCCAACAGGCCATCTTAGAACGGAAGATAGAGAATGCCAAGGGTCTGCTAGAACTTTTTCGTCTGACAGGTACTTTTGTCACATGTTGATAAGATTCTGTTCTTAGGCTAGTCAGTGGCCTGACTAGATTGGGAAGTTGAAAACCATTCTGAAGAACAAAGTGGCAAGCCACTTGTACAACATTGTTAAGAAAACTGTTTATGTAGACACCAGGAGTCATGCTGAACTTGAGTGGGGATTTACATTTTATTTAGCAGTAGACAGATATATTAGCTTATCAACCCAGCTTTGAAATTCTGATAATTCTTTCTAGGCCTAAGTGGAAAATTGACAGAGCAAGGAGTCTCCTTTTGCATCAGCACTGCCTTTGAAGGAACTTACCTAGATTCCTATTATTTAGACATCCTTATACAGCAGCCACTCCGGATTCAACACCATTCAATCCCAGTTTTCATACCACTGGAGCAAATAGCTCATGAGCATTTGCAGAAAGATATCAAGTGCTTCCTGTCCGTACTTTCAGATCATCTGAATGCTTATGCTAGAAGGAAATTCCAGGTAGATCAACTACAGGTAAGGGGGAAAATGGTGTCCTTCTGAACATGTGTGATACAAGAAACATTTTGCTAATAGCATTGATTTATCTTTTCTCAAAGGAAGTTTCATGGAGGGTGCTGGACTGTGTGTAGCTAATACAGTCTTGGAGTTATTCTGCCATGTGGTTACGGCTGCCTCACTTTTAGTCAGCAAGTAGTAATGACCATATTTTAAACTGGACAAGGGCAGAAGACCCAAGCAAATAATTTGGATTAATTTGAACCAGTGATTTTCTAAATATAAAGGGGTCAATTGAAATAACTGAAATAAGGATTCTTATCTAATCATATATTGATGAATTATGAAGTTAGAATCTTGAACAATTATAAATTTGCTCTCATTTAAAACTAACAAATTAGTAGCATAAATATTCTATTAAAAGGTCTGCATAAAAAAGATACACAACAATAACTTGTTTCATAGCATTAGAAAAAGTAGTAATCTATCTGATCAATATTAGAAGTGGCATCACATGAATACTATTTGGCATTTTGGGAACTGTCTTAGTGAATTTTGCAAAATTCAGTTTTAATCTCCTGTTATTTAGCATTCTCTAAAGACCTAAAGAAAATAATGTATGAAGTTAAAGTTACCGCTATGTCAAAATAACCCTGCTTTGTCCTGAGAACCTCTGTTACAAAAGGCTGGTTGTAGTAGAACACCTAAAACGGATTCTGGACAGAGCTGTGCCTCAGCTAATAAACAAGCTGCATCCATTCCAGAAAGAGATGACTTTATTTCAGTGATGTTAGTGCTGGTAATCTCAATATTGAATTGCTGCAGAATTCTTTTGGGGGGGTAATTGAAGAAGGTCTGGAAGCTGCAAATAACCGAAAATGTGATAATACTATGGGTCAACAATAGTGTTTTCTGGAGGTTTCACATCCTATCATTTTGAAGCAGTTGATTGTTGGTTGCTCTTGAGAGTCAATTCCAAGTTCTACGTGACATTTGCATAGCTTTGGTCCAGATTACTTATAGGGGCGCCTATAACCATAGTTTGTCTTGCCATCTTAGTTCTTCAGTAATAAAAATAACAGTGCATCTGTTTGAATATGGGAATGAGATGACATCTGGAATTGTCACTACAAATATGCAACTGCATACTCAATGCATCATCTTCAAGCACTGTTTATTTAAGAGCGTTTTGGAAAAATCCAGGCTACCATATGCATCATTAATGCAAGAGAGAGAGAGTAAGATATATTTTAAGTTCCCTAGGTTGCATTTTTATCTCAGCCCTTTAAATAGAAAGCTGGTAGGTCAAGATTTTTAGTGAGAAATTGTTTAACTATCATAAATTTATAGCCCCATTTGGAAGGCGATAGAATCATTTTCTTTTGGATTGATTCAATGGACATTACTATAGCTAATAATTTAAAATAAAATTTAAAATGGAAAAAATAATTTTAAAATTAATAAAATAATTTAAACTGTAAAAGCTACTATTATGGCCTATCTAAATGGCCGCATCAAGTGTAACACAGGCATCAAACTCGCCACGTCACATTGCCGTCACGTGATGTTTCTCAATGTTTTCCCATTTGCAGAGCTGGGGTGGGCATGGCCCCTGCGTGACGCATCTGGCCCGCAGGCCGCCTGTTTGATACCCCCGAATTATAGCATAGATAAAATACTTTTAGTTACTTCTTCTGGTGTCAGATTTATTTTTCTCTTGGTATATCTTAGTTTTCAGTTATATACAGGAAAAGACAAATCTGTTTAATCTTATTTTTATACCTATAGTTTATTTTGTTCCAGTTCTACATCAATTTGCACTTTTACAAAATTGTCTAAACCTATCTGCCTCTTTTTTTGCAACAGCATATAGGTAGTCCTTGACTTATGACCACAATTGAGCCCAAAATTTCCATTGCTAAGTAAGATAGTTCTTAACAACCTTTCTTGCCACAGCTGTTAAGTGAATCACTGCCTTTGTTAAGTTCTTAACATGGTTGTTAAGTGGATCTGGCTTCCTCATTGACTTTGCTTGTCAGGTCGCAAAAAGGGACCACATGATCCCAGGACACTGCAACCATCATGCCAAGTATCTAAATTTTGATCACGTGACCACGAGGATGTTGCAATGGCCATAAGTGTGAAAACTGTTCATGTCACTTTTTTCAATGCCATTGTAATTTTGAATGGTCACTAAACAAATGATTGTAAGTCGAGGACTACCAGTATTTTGAAGCAGATGCCTTTTTGCAAGTATAGAATTCTTTTTCATCAATATATAGTTCTGTATATACTTCTATATATCCATTTTGCATCCGTTTTGACCAGATAACTGGCTTTTCTATTTGTTATTGATGTGAACATTGAGCAATAGCTAACATGGGAAGCTAAGGATTCATTCCTTTTTTTAAAGCAACTAGACTGATGATGATGAGAGGCTTACACAGGGCTAAAACATCAAAATACAAACTAACATATCAATAAAAACATTGCACTGGGGACAGTTAACCCCAAGCATATACTTGAGACAGATTCATGCAACATTCTGGTCCAGTACCTTATAAACAAAAACAGCCTTTGGGGCATTATGAAAGACTTGACAGCATCCTGGTTCTAACTACTTGCCATAAGAAACAGCTTTTCCCTTGACATGGCCAACTACAACTGCCACTGAATCTGGTCCCCAATATTTAAAATGTAGTGCGCTAGCTTTGTACAAACCTTATGAAAATCATACTGTCCAGCCTCCCAGAGTTGTGGGTGCTCCATTGCTGGAGATTTTCAAGAAAAGATGGGGAAACCATTTGTCTAGGATGGTATAAGTTCTCTTGCCCTGAGCAAAAGATTGGACTAGAAGACATTGAAGGTCTTTTCCAGCCCTGTGAGTCTATGCTTTATGTAAATTTTTGAGCAGCAGTTATGTAAACTGGCCACTGGGTGGACTTCAGCAAAGCAGTATCTTTGTCTAGACACTAAAATACACTGCTCAAAAAAATGAAGGGAACACAAAAATAAGACATCCTAGATCTGAATGAAAGAAATATTCTTATTAAATACTTTGTTCATTACATAGTTGAATGTGCTGACAACAAAATCACAATAAAATTATCAATGGAAATCAAATTTAGCAACCCATGGAGGTCTGGATTTGGAGTTACACTCAAAATTAAAGTGGAAAAAAACACTGCAGGCTGATCCAACTTTGATGTAATGTCCTTAAAACAAGTCAAAATGAGGCTCAGTAATGTGTGTGGCCTCCACGTGCCTGTATTACCTCCTTACAACGCCTGGGCATGCTCCTGATGAGGTGGCAGATGGTCTCCTGATGGATCTCCTCCCACACCTGGACTAAAGCATTCCCCAACTCCTGGACAGTCTGTGGTTCAACGTGACGGTGGTGGATGGAGCGAGACATGATGTCCCAGATGTGCTCAATTGAATTCAGGTCTGGGGAACGGGCGGGCCAGTCCATAGCATCAATGCCTTTGTCTTGCAGGAACTGCTGACACACTCCAGCCACATGAGGTCTAGCATTGTCTTGCATTAGGAGGAACCCAGGGCCAACCGCACCAGCATATGGTCTCACAAGGGGTCTGAGGATCTCATCTCAGCACCTAATGGCAGTCAGGCTACGTCTGGTGAGCACATGGAGGGCTGTGCAGCCCCCTAAAGAAATGCCACCCCACACCATTACTGACCCACTGCTAAACCGGTCATGCTGGAGGATGTTGCAGGCAGCAGAACGTTCTCCATGGTGTCTCCAGACCCTGTCATGTCACATGTGCTCAGTGTGAATCTGCTTTCATCTGTGAAGAGCACAGGGCACCAGTGGCAAATTTGCCAATCTTGGTGTTCTCTGGCAAATGCCAAATGTCCTGCACAGTGTTGGGCTGAAAGCACAACCCCCAGCTGTGGACGTTGGGCCCTTGCACCACCCTCATGGAGTCTGTTTCTGACTGTTTGAGCAGCCACATGCACATTTGTGGCCTGCTGGAGGTCATTTTGCAGGGCTCTGGCAGTGCTCCTCCTGTCTCTCCTTGCACAAAGGCGGAGGTAGCGGTCCTGATGCTGGGTTGTTGCCCTCCTACGGCCTCCTCCACGTCTCCTGGTGTACTGGCCTGTCTCCTGGTATCGCCTCCATACTCTGGACACTACATTGACAGACACAGCAAACCTTCTCGCCACAGCTCACCATGATGTGCCATCCTGGATGAGCTGCACTACCTGAGCCACTTGTGTGGGTTGTAGACTCCGTCTCATGCTACCACTAGAGTGAAAGCACCTCCAGCATTCAAAAGTGACCCAACCATCAGCCAGAAAGCATAGGAACTGAGAAGTGGTCTGTGGTCCCCACGTGCAGAACCACTCCTTTATTGGGGATGTCTTGCTAACTGCCTCTGCTTTCCACCTGTTGTCTATTCCATTTGCACAACAGAATGTCAATTGATTGTCAATCAGTGTTGCTACCTAAGTGGACAGTTTGATTTCACAGAAGTGTGTTTGACTTGGAGTTACATTGTGTTGTTTAAGTGTTCCCTTTAATTTTTGGAGCAGTGTAGTAGTTATAATTCAATCCTTGCAACAACAAAAAGGATGAATACTATACTAGATTAGATTCACATGGTTTTTAGTATGGGTGTTTCTTTTTTTTTTTTTTAAAGTGCCTTCTGCCACAATTAGGCCAAAAGATGAGAGAACATTATTCCTCTGACATTTGATGTGTTTCTATTTGTATTTCAAATTGCACGTTAAAGTGAAGATGATAGTCAAGGGAAAGCAAATCTTACATGAAATACAATAAACATAAAAATGCAGTAATGTAGCAAGATGCAGTGAAAATAGTGCTTGTATTTTGAGATATTTTTGGCTGAAAAACTATATCCTTAGCATTTCTATTAGATGTGCATTTCTAACTATTCTAGCAAAATGAGGTGGCTATAGAAATGAGAATACCAAAGGGCCAGATTGAGCAGCTTTTGAGAAGGAATGGAAAAATGAAAATCTAGGAATGACACAAAAACTGAAATGGGAAACCCCTTCCAAAGCAAAAAATTCAGGAGATCTGCAGTGCAAACTTCAGGAAGGTTTGCAAATGTTGCTTATTGATGAAAACCTAAGAAAGTGAATGAGTGAGAGAGTGGGGTGGGGGAGAGAAGTAATAGGAGTACAAATGTATATACTTATCCTGGTCTTCTGGCTTGTAAACTTCTCTCGAAGGATGATAGAGAGAGAAAGAGGAAAAGAGGTTTTTGTTCAAATGACCAGCATCCTGAGAACTTCTGGGAGAACTTCTACTGATAAAAGAGAATATTTGTAGGGTTAAACTGTGACTTCCTTGGTGCTCTCTAAGCTTGATGGGGGTTTTTGCAGATGTTTCATTACCAAACTAGCTAACATCAGTCAACACCAAACTCAACAGAGCACCCAAGGACCCCACAGAATTTGTTCTGATCGTGCCAAATCTTAAGAGATTTTAATCTTTTTTCTAGTAAAATCACTGCATTAAAAAAAAAAAATTTTAAATCCTTTGTAGTGTGATTTAATGCTTTTTCTTCTTCAAAGCCTGAGAAGATGAGTAAAATAAAGTTGATTCTTGTGATCAGAAACAGGTTGTCCAAGGCTAAAAAGGCTAAAAAAGTCCGAAAGGCTAAAAAAGTTTTGATTTGGCAACATCAGAATGTGATAGATTTTAATCTTGGAATTACAGGGTTATAAGACACAAAATTTATTCTGTTTCTTTCAAGTTCAACATCAGAAAAAAATAAAAAATAGACGTAAAGAAGTTATGCCTATGTAATTTATATATGTACAGTAAGTACATAAGTACAGTAAGTAAACCCCAAAGGTTTTCATATTTTTTTCGCTGCAAAACTTTTTAATCCACTTGCTAAAAAAAAGGTGGGGCTTCTGAATGAGGGGTTGTCAGTCTCATCCTTTTCACTGAACCTTAGTAATCAAAGGGGAATAGTAATACAAGTGTCATATGGAAACTTTTTGGAAGTTTGGAAGCTTTTTCTTTTCCCTCTCCCCACCCCACCTTTGGGGTCTCTTTCCATTAATTCCTTGCTGCCTTCCCCACTTCCCATACATATAGAACAGTGATGGCTAACCTATGACACGCATGTCACTCGTGACACGCCGAGGCACTTTGACTGACACGCCTGTTGGTGTGGGGAAAACCTGCACATTTAGAGGCTGCCTGTGCTCTGCTCCAATCCCTGCTCACTGCTTGTTGCGTGGAGGCGTGGTGTCACCGCTGCCGCAAGATCTTTGCAGCAGAGAACCAGTTTTAACCGCCATAAACTGAGGTTTGTCAGTTTCATTACCTCCGGAACGCTATAGGAGGAAAGGAGATCCATGAGGTTCACAGCCCTGTAAGGTGGCCTTCCGATCCCCACATCCTGCACCTGCAGCCCTGAGACCAGGGAGATGAGGTTCACAGCCCTGTGTGATCACCCCAGCCCAGTCCGTCATAAACCAAATTATTGATATTTCTTGAAGTGACACACAACCCGAGGAAGGCTACACTTTTTCCCGATTTTCGACACACCAAGCTGAAAAGATTAGCCATCACTGATATAGAATAACAGAGTTGAAAGGAAACCTGGAGGTCTTCCTGCTTAGGCAGGAAACCCTACACCACTTCTGACAAATGGTTATCTCATCTCTTCTTTAAAACTTCAGGTGTTGGAGCATTTACAACTTCTGGAGGCACTTTACATCATTTCCACAATGATATTCAATGCAGACAAAACCATTTCCCTCATTTCCACATCACCCATGTTGGGAACCACTATAGCTTGCGCCAACGCATAATGTCTGTAGTCTTACAAAAAGTAGTGTTTAGATACAGATATGCTGTAGAACCAACTGAAAGTGATTGCAGAAGTTTATATCTATCCTTTAGTTTGAAAAATTCCTTGGCTAGGTTTCAGTAATAAAGAAGCATCCCTGCCTTTGTCAAGTTGGAACAGAGGCTCTCCTTTTAATTCTAATTTTAACAAACTATATGAGAGCTTCCTAACTACTATAACAGCAAAAGAACGAATCAAAATCAAATGATAAAGGGCTGAAGAAGCACAAATCTTAAAAATAACCAGCGTCTTAAATTGTAGTAAATTTCTTTAAAAACTTCAAACCTTTAAAACCTTTTGGGAAGCCTGGAATAGTAAAAAAAAATCTGTAGTCAGTTTGGATTTAAAATAATACCAAGGTTTCAGAAAAATCTTCAGATAAATTTCAGAAGGCGTTCACACACAAGCACCCCCCCCTTTTTTTTTTCTGGTAACTATAAACTATATCTGGGACAGCACCTGGAAAACAACCTCCAAAAATGATCTTCAGTATGAAGTGCATTATTGTCTTCTTTGCAGGAACGTTTTGCTGTTTTTCTTGAAGGATGCGTGAAAGGAAATTCTTTGTATAATCAGTTGGAATTTAACTACCGTGTCACAGAAGATGGAAGTTTTCCATTTATAGCAAAGATCATATATGGAAATCCCATGAATGCCCTCCCAACCAAGGTCACTGTTGTATGTAAAGGTGAGCAGTAATGGGTTGTATTTGATAAAGGAAGAGATTATTAAAGTGAAGAATCATTTGAGTTCACCTCAGTTCTTGGTGACTTAAGTATCAACCTTGTGAACTCTCAAGTTACTTCTTTCCGCTACATATTCAAAATGGACAATGGTTGTGTGTGTGTGTGTGTATATGGGCAGGTATATATGGGCTTGTGGCAGTAAAAATAGCAAAGAATATATCCACAGATAGCCAGCTAATGCCTCCATTTCAGGAGACCAGGTCTGCTGTGAGAATTATTCTAGGTATTGGTTGGATAAAGTTGCTGGGTTTCACTCTCAGTTGGACTCTGGCTTGGGAGATCTTATGGAAGTGCTTGAGACGCATGTTAGCCCAATTACTTGGGAAGAGGTTGAACCAATCAGCAAAAGTTGACACCCGTGCCTTATTCCTTGCTGTATTTCACAGGGTTTAGTCAATACCTCATTAACTATAATTTGTACCCTTTGTGAAGCATATATTAATTTCAGCCATGTAATGAAATTTCCCCCCAATATCCGTAACTTCTAGAATTTTGAACAGAAATATTTGGTTCAGGTTATCAAAAGGTTTCTAAGTATATTCTTTTAGAGTTCCCATTTATAAATAAATGTCTCTATATGTCTAAGAGTTCAAAACTGCCAAGAAAAATTCTTGTCCCAAATTCTTAAAAATCAGCCTGTGTGTTTTCAACAAATTTCACCCCTCAATTTTATCCTTGATATCACAAATAGAATTTCTTCTAATTTTGCAATATGTGATCTAGTCCTTTACAGTGGATATGTACTTCATTCAAAAATTACAGAGGTATTAGAGGTACTTATTTATGGGGGTACCCAATTAGAGGTACATGTCTTGTTTCAGTATATAACTTCGTCTCTACTGACAGGGTTCGATGACTTTAATTGAAAAAAAAAATCAGCTACCACACAAAAGAATAGAACTAGAGAGAAATAAATGCAAGATTTCCATACTGCAACTTCTTGTCCTCTTTTTTTCTTCAAAAGATGCACCAGTGTCTGTGGACGAGATGGCAGCAGCTCATTTGGCTTTGTTCTATGAGAAGCCTCTTCAAGATGTCTTTCTTTCTATCACAGTCTCAGCTGAAAATCTGAATCAACCTATTGCAGCCGGAACATCTTCCTAGTCTATATCTGGTGGCAAAAATGTTATCTCTGAGTTGCTGCATTGTAAATTCCACTAAGGTAGGAAGACAAAGAGGGATCTCACAGTAACACAGATTGTTCTGCCCAGAAAATTGATGAAGGGTTATTTAGTTTAGTTTAAAAATAAAGTACTTTAAATGCTGAAATGCTATTAGCAACCTGAAGGATGATAGAGCATGTTCCAGTAAAAATCTGGCAGATAATATCCTTTAGCTGAGTCTTTTTTCAAGTAAATACAAGATAGATTGGTCATATTTTCATTTTTAGTTTACATATTCTAGTCTCTGAAGTATTTACTGCTTTCCTATGGAAATGTAGCCCATTTCCTTTTCCCATGAAAGGGACCAGAAATTTGTCCTTGTGGCAGCATTTACATTATAACTATCTGCTTTGCTTAGTTTTGATGTTGAAATTCTGATTCTGTAGATTTCAGTGGTAAGAAAGCAGTTTCTTGTATGTTTCATTAAATAATAGCAATAGCACTTAGACTTATATACCACTTCACAGTGCTTTACAGGCCTCTCTAAGCAGTTTACAGAGTCAGCATATGGCCCCCAATAATCTGGGTCCTCATTTTACTGACCTCAGAAGGATTGACAGCTGAGTCAACCTTGAACCAGTCAGGATCAAACTGCTGACAGTCAGCAGAATTAGCATGCAATACTGCGTTCTAACCACTGCACCATCACAGCTCTAATTTGCTTAGAATGATTGAATGTCACCTGTGGAATAGCTGTCTAATGCAAAAGCAATTAGGCCTTTATAGGAAATATTTAATACAGGTAGTCCTCGACTTACAACAGTTCGTTTAGTGACTGAAGTTACTACATCACTGAAAAAAAAGTGGCTTATGACTGTTTTTCATATTTACGACCATTACAGCATCCCCCATGGCCATGTGATCAAAATTTGGATGCTTGGCAGCTGCTTCATATTTATGACAGTTGCAGTGTCCCTGGATCACGTGATCACCTTTTAGAACCTTCCGACAAGTAAAGTCCATGAGGAAAGCCAGATTCACATAAAAATCATATTACTAAGTTAATCACTGCAGTGATTCCCTTAACAACTGGGGCAAGAAAGATCTTTAAATGGGGCAAAATTCACTTACAATTGTTTCACTTAGCAACCAAAATTTTGAACTCAGGTATAGTAAGTCAAGGACTACCTGTGTAAGCTTTGTGCTTATTAAACAAATTTATTAGAATATATGTGTATATTCAAAGACAAATTACATACAGGTAGTCCTCAACTTACAACCTTTCATTCAGTGACCATTTGAAGTTACAATGGCACTCAAAAAACTGATTTATGACCATTTTTCACATTTATGACCATTGAAACATCCCCATAATCACATGATCAAAATTCAAGCACATAGCAACTGGCATGTATTTATGACAGTTGCACTATCCCAGAATCATTTGATCACCATTTGTAACCTTCTCAGCCAGAAGGTTCTGACAAAGTCAATGGAGGAAGCCAGATTCACTTAACAACTGCAATGATTGGCTTACAACTGGCCAAAAGACTGTAAAACGGGGCAAAACTCACTTAACAACTGCATTGGTTAGCAATGAAAATTTAAGGCTCTGTTGTGGTTGTATGTCCAGGACTACCTACGCATGTACAGCAAGAATTATGAAAGCAAAGTTAATTTAAATGATCACAGGGAAACAGACGGACCAGAGACTTTGAAATAAGGCCAAGGACTGCAAGATAGCCTGTTGGCTTTGCATCTTTTCCTACCAAAGGTCCTTATTAGCATGAATAAATGATTTAATTCTGCCCACCTCATCTCACTTTATGATGACTTTTGTTCTCTAGCATGAACATCATCTATTTTTAAAAACATTGCTTTACATTTTTTAAAACTAAATATAATAGTATTCTCTGGCCCTAATTCTTTAGGCTTGTCCTGCTTCAATCACAACTCTCCTTGATTCTCTGCAAAGGAGGATAGGACAATACATTTAACTTACCTGTGTGAAATGAGAAATTATATGGAATTTTATAAATATCTGATTTAGTGTGATTATCTCTGTGGATTTTGTATATCTGAAGACGCTGCAAGAAGATGAACTTAGCCCTCTGGCACAGTTGTATCAGTTTTTCATTCAAAGTTCCCAAAACAGATTACACATTAGAAAAGTGAGGAAAGCTGTTCAGTCTTGTCTTTGATATCACATTTTCACAAATTAAATACAGATTAAATTGGGAAATGATATAACATTTCCTTTATATATTCTATATTTGTATATGTTTTATTTATTATACAATACAACTTTTAAAAAAGAAGTCCTAATCTGTAATAAATGTGAAAAGCCAACAAATAATCAGGGTTTGTGGTTCTTAACGGGGCAGCCCTCCTTACCATATAGCCCCTCCCCAGCAGAGCCTTTGCTAATTTGAGATTCATCATTAAGACAAAAGTCCACGGTGTTTAACAATACAAAATATGCTCTTTGGTTTATGTTTAAATCAGACAAAAATGGTGCATCAACAGACTAGTTATCCTCTTTTGACTTATAGTTAAATATTCCAATAGCATAATGGCACTCTTAGACATCACTCTGAAATCAGAAATCATAAGGTATTTAGCATTCAACCCAACCATGCAAAATTCCCCTTAGAGTAAATGACACACCTCCTTTTTCTCCCCAAAAGAAAACAAGAGACAGCAATTTTAAAATCAAACTGAATCTATTTGAGAAACTAAACAAATTACATATTTTTTATTTCAACATAATCAGATGAAGGCTTTTAATAAAACAGCCTTGGTTCAGGCTGTATAAATCTCTTCCTTTTGAAGCATCAGCAAAGATGAGGGCAGAAAAGGAAGCAAGGCACAGCCTGAAAGAGGCACCTTACTTTCACAATTGATGCATTAAAAATATAAAGATATATGTTATCATATATATTATCATATATATAACCTTTCATATACTTGAATGATCTCTCCCTTTCCCTCTTCAAAATAGAGCATCTTGTCACAGTGAAAAAATTCCACGTGTGTTCTTTTTTTCCTTTCTGTTATATGTCTCCTTTTAGGCAATTATTAACTCCATTTGAACCAAGTGAGCCAGGTATGAACTTTATGCAGTGTTCCCAGTTCATCTGCCCATTTGTAGTACCTATTCTGAACTTGCATTTACTTTTATAAAAGAAGTCTATGCAGAGCTTGGCTCAATGGAAAATCAAAACCACTGCACATTTGAACTAAAAAGATAATGCAGTCAAAGTGATCTAGCCAAGCAAGGCTGCAGTGAGAATTCTATTACCTCTGAATGTGCAAGAAGCCACGTATTTGTGCAAAAGGCAGGATTCTTCCTATTGAAACTTTTTCTACTGCCCTTTCTATACCAAGAGACAAATGCAAACTGATGGCAAGGGAGCCCCTTTACAAATAATAAATGTTCAAGAAGAAAGGAACAAGCAAAGGGGTGATTTCCTGTAAATCTATCAGTGATGTATATATCAGTCTCCCATCCAGAGCAGCAGGTGCTGAAAGCAGTTTGTCTTTGGGCATTGCAGAGGTACCTGCTTTTTTCTGCTATCTGCATGTAGAGTGTGAGAACTTCAAGAACTGTCAACCACCTGATGAGGCAAAGTCACACATGAACCATTGATGATAGAATCTTGCTTTTCACGTCCTTTCATAAAATAGGTCAGCAAGTCACCTTTGCCTTTGACAAAAATGTGCCCTCGACGCACAAAGCGGAAGCCATACTCTTTCAAGATAAAGTGGGTTTCCTCCACCACCTAAAAAGGGTGAGAGAATACACAGATATAATCAAACCAGCTTATCAACCAAATGTTTCTTTTTAGACTGTTTTGGGTTTTAAGTCAATATTTTACACATCTTTAACTGACCCAAAAGAAATGGACCACAAAGGCTGTGCTATATTGTGGAATGAGGATATGTCAAGCCACATCAAAATGAAAATAAATGAAGAAGTAAAATTCTACAGATATCCATAAATACCACTTTATTGCCACATAAAACCAGGAAAATGTACTCTAAGAATATATGGTTCTATTAAATTATGTTTCATCACTTTAGTTACTTACCTGAAATCACTTCCTGATTTTCAGGAGGGAAGATTATATCTTTTTTTTACTTGGGACTTTGTTAAAATGCTACACAACTGACAGTAACACTGCCATTTTTAACAGAGGAGCTTCCTTCCTTTTTGATAGTCTTCAACCTACCTTCTGGAGAATCTTGGAGTTCCTTATCTGTTTATAGCAGTTGCGAATTATAATGGTTGTGTAGTCCATTATATCTGAGTGAACCCAATTGATTGTCTGCTGCTGTGTCTTAAGATCAGATTGTAGTTAAGCCACCAAGTCTGCTGGCATTCAGTGTGACTGGAATATAATTCTTTTAAAATGCCTCCAAGTCCATGATCTGATTTACATAGACTTCTGTTAATCTGCATTGAGATTAATCTGCATTGAGGTGAACTCAGAAACCATTTTAAATAAGTTTCTAGTACCTTTTCAGAGCAACCTAATATATAAGAAATAATGAGGTTCCATACAATGCTGCTATGCATATTGACCCTACCGTCTCCATCTATGGCCACAGTTTCTAACCCTTTCTGCCCTTACTATACAGTAGTCATTAAATCTGGCTTTAATGTGGTTAGAGTTAGAAGTGTCTATAATTACAGTTAACTGCCACCATTTTGAGAAACCTTCCTGTTGTTCCCATCAGAGCAGAAGAGTATCCCCACCTGTATATTTCCCATGACACCTGTGGACTCCATCCGGCTTGCCACATTCACAGTGTTCCCCCAAATATCATAGTGAGGTTTACGGGCACCAATCACCCCTGCTAGCACTGCTCCTTTATTCATTCCTGTCAGTACATTATAACAAAAAGAGAAAAGTGAGAAACAAATGCATCAAGTATTCAAAAGTACTTTTCAGTCTGCCTCAGACACAGAATAAGACCACAAGTAGGGAAAGCTAAAATCCCTGATGGATTTGAACAATGATTCAAAGAAATCAGGACACTATTTTTCACAGTACCCAGTCAAATATCTAGACTCGGGAGCCCAAAAGTATGAGTACAGTAGCATTCTTCCTATTTCTTTGTTGTTCCTCAGATATTAGTATTTAGAAAGGGAACATCTTGGAACATTTGGCTGCTAGATTTTTCCTCTTCTTCTTCCTTTAGGACGTCCTTTAAAGCCATCTAAACTAACAGCTATTATCTGGTAATAAGCCTTGTGTAAGCATTCCCTTTGCCCTGAATCGGATATTAATCTATTACAATGTTTCAGTGTAATGCGATTAGTCCCATCTTGCTCATATTCATCACATAGGATACCCCACTTACCTATTCGCAGCATGAAGTTATTGAAGGACTGATAGTTAATGTTCATCAAAGTCTCTTTCATGGCTAAGGCAAAGTCTGCAAGATCTGCCAAATGTTGCCAGCGCTCCTTTTCTGAACGATCCTCCTTCTAGGGAAGGCAAAACACCAAAAGTAAAAATAAAACAAAAAATCAGAAGAGAAACACTTCTCAAGGTTTTTGAGCCTGGGCTGTCTAATTTTGTTCATATTTTTAATTGTTTTAATGTTGTATTAGATTTTTTTGGTAAGCTGCCGAGAATCTTTTGGAATGAGCAGCCATAACAAATTCAAACAAGTCATACCTGTTTATTAGGATGTGGCACCTATAACCCTTTAATTAGTTCTGAACATCAGTTCCAATTTTGGATTATTTTGGTTAGATCTGCAATGAGTTATTGTTCAGCAGTATCTAGAGGATCACAGTTTCTCTACCCTTAAACTAGAGAGGCAATTAATTCCATATTAATCAAGGCACTACAGAAAAATTGTGCACAGGTAGTTAATTCATCCTTCAGTGAGCGGGTGGTTCTATTTGTATGGAAGGATGTGATAGTCTGCTCCTTCTCAAGGAGTCACTGCTGAACTCAACAGTTCTGTATAACTTTGATCCTGTCATCCATTCCATTTTGGAGAGAAAGTGGTTGGACTGCAGCTTCAGGTGGCCTTTGAAGCAGCCACCCTCTTCTGTGAGAGTAGTACTGAGGTAGCATTGATTGCAGTTAATAATGATGCCTGAGATCGGGACCAGGATAGGGAAAATGCATCCATCCTGGCCATTCTTGACTTCTTAATAGCTTTAAATACTTTAGTAATTAATCATGGCATTTGACAAGAGCAACGCATGGAGATAGAGTACAAGGTATATTTTGTACGAGTTTTGTTCCTTCATGTCCTGTTCCAGTCAGTGTTGGGACAGAGGAAAAAAACTTTTTTTTTTTTAACCTTAGGCCCTTACTTTGGAGTATGTCCAAGAAAGTTCAACATATTCTGTTTATCATCTACATAAAGCCTGAAGGAAGTCATCCAATAATAAAGGATTAGGAATCATCAAAACAGTGATATTCATCTATACAGCTCAGTCCCTGGTTGCACAATGATGTCTCGATTTTATGACCATTTTTATGATGAGTTACTATGGTAATTAAGCAAATTCATTTTCTCAAATGTCCAGTTTGGCTGGAAAGCAGCAAAAAAAAGTAGAAATTTGGGGGAAGGGAGTTACAAATTGGGGGACACTGCAATCAATCATACACATGAGCCAGTTGTCAAGTGCCTTAAATGTGATTATGTGACCATGGGGGGTGTAGATGGATACTTCCACAGTCGTAATTCTTCTGTCTTTTCACTGCTTACCTTAACAGTGTTGTAACCATTGCTGTTGACATTGGGTGTCACACCAGAAGCTGCCATGTATGTACTGCCAATGGTTTTAATTTTAGTGATGTATCGGAACTGGGGATCATCCAGGAGCTGTGAGAGTCAGAAATACCAATAATTATTGCAAGGATCAATAAATCAGTCAGGAAGGTAGATTTGGGGTGCTATGGAGCTGATCAGAAACGCCAAGGGCCAATTCTTGATCTTACAATGCAATCTTATACATGTAAACCCTATTAATGCAATGTATACCCAGTCACATGTAAACAGGACTGCAGTTTTCTCTACCATGTGTGCCTCGTAAAAAATTGCATACAAATGCTCCACACCTCACAAAGCACATAATATAAGCAATAACTTGAAAGACGTATGCTGTCTGTGCATATGCTAGGTTTGCATGCTTAAATATTTTAAGTTAAGATGCCTAGAGCAAACTGACAAAAATTTATCAATGCAGTAAATGAAGATACGGAGCATTGACATTTACTCCCAAGGCTCAAAAGCACAGATTTTGAATTCACATGATCTTATCTCCTTTTTTTGAAAGGGGGGGAATTGAGGGGTAAACATTTATGATATAAAGTGATAGGTGGCAGGATTAACACAGATCAATTCCTCTGATTTCTTGCAATTCTAGTATGCAATTAATATGGGCACAACTGAATCAAAGTAGGGAGCAGACTTTTGCTATCTTTGTTGACAACTAGCCACTGTACGCCTGTTTTAAGCTGAGTAGCCACTAAAACAGGATTTTCTTTGGCAAAAAATCCATGTAGATACCTTGACTTTGCAGAAGACTATTAAATATGGCAAGTGTTTGGTGTAGAATCTGCAATTATCTGTATTATGAAACACTAACACTATCAGTGCTTTGAACCTGTGCCTCTTGCTTTGGATGGTGGAATTGTTGTGAGGTTTGAGGACATGTATTACTGAAAATGGTACTGGTGCTAAAACAAGCTGATAGTTTAATTACAAAGTTGTTTTTCAACATGGTTTTACTTTTATGGATCATCTGTAAATTGGTTTTGAGAGACTGCTTGGCACATAACTTTTTTTTTCTTCAGCACTATCACCAAAAGCAAGATATATATTGATAAAACAGAGTTGTATGATGAAAATCCAAGTTTTACCAATTCATGACAATCAATCATAGTTTAGATAAAACAACAGATTTCAATACTGCTATTTTCCTAACATGAAGCATCTCTCTTCAAGGATAGCTCTTAGAATAAGTAATTGATTTTCTTTGGGCCAACTCATCAAGAGCTTACTTTAGCTATTGATTAAAGATGACTTACCGCATCAAAATCTGAGATTATTTCATTGAGGAAGCGAAGGCACTCGATCCCACCATTGTTTACACTTTCCTCTGTATAGAAGTCAGCAAAGTTGGGGATAGACGCAAACATAACACCAATTTCATCGTAAGACTGACTATACAACTCCTACACAAGAGGGCAAGAAAGGAGAGGAAATTAAAATAGATAAATGGTGCTACTGTATTCAGACATAATTGCCTCCATGTAATCAATTGTGCAATGCAATATACCCAATCTCATCTCATAATTTTTACATTGTCTTCTGGTTTATAGTACTGCATTCTCCTGAAGGTGGAAACAGCTAGCAGTGCCTTTATCACCTTTGGTTAATAAATCAATTGTATGCCTTCCTGGAAGAAAATTATTTTAATGGTGTGATTAACACATTGGTTATCTCCAGTCTTGGTAACTATATGATATATACTCTGGAATATACGGAGTTGCCAACATAGGCTTGATTTAATTCTCATTTCTGACTATCATCCCCTTAACAAAAAAAAATCCTACTTGCATACTGTTTTGTCCATGAACTTCTTGTTTACCAATATGTACCTCATCTCGTTTCTTGGAGCCAAGAAAATGGCGTGCCACATGCTCTGGCAGCATGTTGGTGACAAGAGCCTCATTCCAGCGCCGCATCTCATACACACGCTCCTTCTGGCTATGAACATCAATTTTCCATAAGAATAAAGTCCTAGCCAACTTTTCTACCTGCAATGGGGGAGGAAGAGGGAAGAAATGTCACATTAATAATGTAGTCCAAAATCCCACATTAAAATTTAATATTGTCTTTTATTCTTCAATGATACTAAAAAGCTATGTCATTACCAAGTTGAGTCATTCATATTCTGAATGAATCTTTTTTTTTGTTGCAATTTTTTTATTGATTTTTAAAAACAAACATAAACAAATAAAACATAAAAACATAAAACATCTTTTTTGAAAGCAGCTTGATCCCGGGTTGCATCTCTTCGTACAGACACAAATTCAAGTGCATGCTCATTTTTATATACCATTCCATATCTTATTATCATTCTACATTTTCTATACAGCTTCTCCCCTCTTTTAACTTTCTTAATTTTTTATTTATTTATTTCATCTCAATTCAGATCATTATACTTATATTCTTTGTCCTGTTTCAGCTGTCTATTATCTTTTCTCATTAAACAAAATTTCTCCTGTAATCACTGATTGGAGTATGACGCCTTTATATCTTTCCCCTAAAATTATAACACTTAATATAATACCTAACTTCCATTCGAATTCTGCTTAGTACATTCTAAAGCTACACACTATATTTTAAAAAAGAAAAAAATATGAATATATAATATAATTAAAACAACAATCCATACCAATTCAATTCTATCGTTAATATTAATATTCATTTAAATCTTAAACATTTTGCATATTACTTTTCAAATAGGTATCATGTTTCTATGGGAACACTTAAAAACTTTCCATAGTTACTTCCCCCCACTTCACTTATATTTTAAAACATTGTGTAATTAAAATGTTCCCATTCCTTCCTAATTCAATTCTCATTTATTTCATTTCACTTTTGTTCACAAAAGTTTCACTGAATCACAATATTTTATCCCACTTTTTAATCATATGTTGTTTCCAATTTTCTAACGTTATTTCTAAAACAAATATAACAATACAATCTTATGTACCTTTGCAGAATCGCTTTTTCAGTTAAATTTTTACCCATTATCTCTGAATAAGTCCTGTTTCTTTACATCTTGCTCCAAACTTTTGTAGCTTCTCTTCCCTTCCTTCCTCCCTTGCTTCTTCTCTCTGCCCTTTTTACCCCCGTGTCTCTCCACCTCCATTTCCTTTTTCTGTGTTCCCCTTTTCTGTTGCTTTCTGACATTATATCCACTTTTCACCTTGTTTTTCCCTTTTTTGGTTGTTGTTTTTGGTCTTAAATTCTCCATTCTCTTTTCCCCCTTTCTTCCCCAGATAAAGTTACTTGTTCATTAAAGATGGCTTCTTCTTTGTCCCAATCTTCTTGTTGCACAGTCTTTTCTTGTAGTTTCTCGTAGGTACAGATCGCCATTTCTAAGAATTGAAAAACGGAGCCAAAAGAGCCCTTCCCTTGTTCCTCTTCTTTATATTTTTAAATTCCATTTTCAGTTCATCCACAAGTGATGCCATTGTAAAGTTTTTTTAAACAACCACCCAATTGTTTTTAATCATTCAAATATAGTTTCTAGAAGTCCCAAAGTCACCAAGCAATCCAAATACACACAAGCTGTTTCTTTTAACACTTTCTTCTTTTTTCACTTTCTCTTCCTTGGGTTACTATTTAGTTACAAAGTTCCAGTTAAAATATATCTTTTAGAAGTCTTATTGAGATTTAACTTTAGGTTCTTTTGGATTCCAGGCAGACTCCTCCTTCCAAATCCTGCTCTTATTCTTTTTCTCTTTTTACAGCAAAAAAATTTTTTTTTAAGTGTTCAGAAATCTTTAGTCCCCTTGGCATTTAATTTTCCAGTTTAATTACCTATTGGTGCCAAAGCAGATTTTTCCGATTTCTCATTCATCTCTCTTCGCTGTCAACGTAAGGAAGGAGAGTGGAAAAAAACTTTCCCTTTTCTCTTTCATTCGCTGCTTCCGAGTCTTCTTTGGGAGCGATGTATCTTTTATAAAATTTAAATTTCAGGATACCTTAGTTGTTGCTTCTTATCCCAGTCAGCCAAAACTTTCACTTCTTAACTTCCTCCTGCACTTTCTTTTCCAGATGACTGCTTCTTTGAGGCGGCCATTTCTGACCGCCGCTCTTACCACCTTCGGGAAAGGGAGTTTAGCCAGCTGAGGAGGAAAGATGCAGCTTTCCTCGACCCTTCTGGGATCTCCCCCCTCTTCACCACCTCTACAGGGTGGCTTAGCCCCGAAGCCAGTTGGTTCGGGGCGCTCCAGCAGCAAGCCCAGGCAGAAACCGCGCATGATCGCAGATTCCTGCCTGTCGCCGAAGCCCTGCAAACCAGAAGTTCATTCTGAATGAATCTTATTATCTGATGACAAAAAAGTACATATGTACAGAAATATGTTCTATATTTATATATTTAATATATGTTCTAACCAGGAACAGGAACACTTTTTATGTGGGTTTTTTTTTTTTTTCTGAAGCAGTGGAATCCAGAACTGTTAGTTTTTTAAAAAAAAAAGTTGACACAGTTTATAGGAACAGAGACATCTTTGCCATTCGAGCTGTCCTCCGATTTGACTGGAAAGATTGCAGATTTATTAACGTAAAGGCAAGTTATGATAGATAAGGCACCCTAAAATGCTAAAATTCTGAAAAATACAGAAATACGATTACCTTAAGAGAATTTGATGGCAAACTGAACTTCCAAGATACCAACTGCCTAAAATAAGAAATTTAGTAAACTACTCACATGACGTGAGAAATAGTAGAAACTGAGCATCATCACCAAGATCATCACTGTCATGGAATATTTTGATGGAACTAATGAGATCCTGCAAGCAAATGAACAAGATTCACAGTTAGAAAATTTGAAAGGGTGAACTACATGTTCAGCCAAGTCATGAGATCAAGATCTTCCTGAAATCTTCACTTCAGTCTGTAAGTGGAAAGATCTATATAGAAAACAAGCACACAAGGAAAAGCAGGTCTGTCAGCTTGAGCTCTACACATAGACATACTTGAAAGAACATGCATATAGAATTGGACTGCCACATTTATAATGAGAGCACAGGTAATCTTCAATTTTAAATTGTAATGGAGCCTGGAATTTCCGACACGTCATGACAGTTGTAAGTCAAAGCACTTATGTGACAGATTCAATTTTACAACTATTTTGTAGCGATTGTAAAGCAAATGCCACATTTTTAAGTAACTCCAATGTCCACCAGTTTCCTGCAAAAAGTGTCATAAATCATAGTCACATGACTGCAGGACACTGCAAAAGATCATAAATATGGACCAGTTGCCAAGAGCCCAAATTGTGATCACGTGGGATCTTACCTGTGAATGACTTTGGACTGTGTTTGAGATTTGCTTAAACGTTTCTGGAATTAAAAACCTACATTTACTGTACAGTATATCTGTGTGCTATGTGTGTATTATTCAAACACTTCTCTCAAATACGTCTCCCTGTATAAACTCATTCTCCTAACGGGGAATTACCTCAACAAGGGTCCTTAATTTTGAATGGTCACTAAGCAACCAGTTATAAGTTAAGAACTAGCTGTAGTCTTAGAAAGAATATCTGACATATTAATACAGCTGAATATAGTGTGCAACTCAGTTCTAACTTCATTCAACAAGCAAAGAAAGGTTGTGGAAAGGTTGTGGAAACTTAGGAGTATTTTATGTATAGTTTCATTGCAAGTGCTGTCCAAAGGAAAAAAATGCATTGGAGGGAGCAGAAGACAAAACAAGTTTTTAGGATTCTCTGCATCCAAAGCTAACCTTCCTGAATTCATAGAACAAAACTTTGCTATCTTACTCTCCCCCTTTCTTCCATATTCTTTATTTAAAAATCCCAGGCTTTGGAACCACAGTTCTTCATGTTGGAACCCACCTCTACATATAGACTGGGTGAAACCAGGCTCAATAGCAATAACTGTGAGAGGGATCTTAATGGAGAGAGAGTCTTAATGGACAACCAGCTAAATAGGAGCCGGCAGTGTGCAGCCGCTGCCAAAAAAGCTAATGCTATCCTAAGTTGCATTAACAGAGGGATACAATCGAGTTCAAGTGAGATACTAATACCACTCTATAAAGCCTTAGTAAGACCACACCTAGAGTACTGCATCCAGTTTTGCTCACCACATAAAAAAGATGTTGAGACTCTATAAAAAGTACAGAGAAGATCAACCAGGATGATTAGGGGACTGGAGACTAAAACATATGAAGAATGGTTACAGGAACTGGGCATGGCTAGTCTAGTAAAGAGAAAGACCAGGGGAGACATGATAGAGGTCTTCCAATATTTGAGGGGCTGCCACAGAGAGGAAGGGGTCAAGCTATTTTCTAAAGCGCCTGTAGGCCAAATAAGGAATAATGAATAGAAACTGAACTAGGAGAGAATTAACCTGGAAATAAGGAGAAACTTTCTGACAGAACAATTAACCAATGGAACAGTTTGCCCTCGGAAGTTGTGGGAGCACCATCACTTAAGACTTTCAAGAAGAGATTGGATTGCCATTTGTCAGAAATGGTGTAGGGTCTCCCACTTGGGTGGGGGTTGGACTAGATGCCCTACAAGGTCCCTTCCAACTGATTATCTATTAGCTGTTATATATGTAATTGAATTGAATGCACTTTCTTTTACTATCTACCTGTTGTATTTTTATCCTCACTTTCTTTTGGCAACTCAAGACGGAACATACACAACTTCGTCTAAGACAACAATCCTGTAAAGAAGTTTGGACTTAGAGTGAGCAGCTAACCCAAAGTGACTCCGTGAAATTCCATGGTTCCTAGTTCATAACCTTTAACGACCTTACCAACAAACTAGTATCTTCACTTCTTGTAAGCTTCTTCAATGAAATTTATTATATAAATCACTTAATCTATGGAGTCTCTTCATGTTACTCTGTAAGTTCGACATCTATTGGTAATGTGACATACATTAAAATTAGTGAAATAATTTAAGAGAGCAATGAATACCAAAAGTAACAAAAAAGTGAATGAATTATTATTAACCACTTCACTTCAGATATGGCTTAAGCCCAATATTACCCTGAACACCCTCCTATGACATTTTTGACCTCAAAAAAGCTTCTTACGTGTTCTCCTGGAATCGCTCCTGATCGTATTTGTCAAAGATCTGTTGCCAGGCCAGAATGTTGACCACTCCCACTGCCCCTGTGATCATCACCATCAGAGTGAGCTTGACCATGTGGCTGACTTGCACCAGCATTATAGTTGCAATCAGTGCCAACACTGCTATGTAGCTGTAGTATTTGGGATTTTCCACACAACCACCCGGAAGCACTGCTGAAACTGTATCATTGACAGTGGTGTAATACTGCTGGCAGCTGAGCTGTTGAAACAAAAGAAGATCGGTTAGGCTGTCCTCTGTTTTTAACACCCTTATTTTCCAGTGAAGAAAAAAAAATCCTTCTAACTAAAAGTGTAATAACTGGAGAACTATTAGATATTAGCACATGGATACAGAAAACATTAAATCTCTTGTGATCATCTAGATTTTTCCAATAGACAAATGCTATGCCTACATACCCCACCCTATGGCAAACCTTTGGTCACTCCTTAGGTGCTATATATAATACACATAAGCACTAATCATGTCATTTAGTTTCACTAATTGTCACATCCTGTTGTAGGGACAATTATCCCTATTTCTGTTTGTAAAATACATCACTGAACAGTCTACATTTCTAGCCCACAGCTTGGTTAATGAACTCTACTCTGGTTTATTCACTTGTGATTCAGCAAAACTCTGAAAACATGTTTTGTGTTTGCTCTAATTTCTTCCAGTGTGTGTCCCTGTACTCAGACAAGTAAATCTAGTGTAGAACACATATGTTTAATATTTTAAGTTACAGCCTCTCTTTCCCCTTCAACCCTTTATTTTTAGACTACATTTATTGCTGGGGGGGGCGGGTGTTCTGAAATCATGTAACTTCATACCCTAACAAGTTGAACTGGATTCATAATACCCACTGTAAAACAATCAGTAACAATAACTAATGCATCATATGCAATGCAGTATTTAGTAGTGCAGTGGTAGACAGAACAACAGAAAAAAGATTTAGGTGTGCTCACAGCAGGTGACTGTAAAATGAGTATAAACACTAGTTAGGCATCTATGAAGGCAAATAAAATGTTGGGGTGGATCACTAGAGGATTACCAGCGGGAAAAAGGATGTCCTAATTCAGGGTTGTCAAACTCATGTCATCACGTGACGTATTGCAACTTTCCCCCACCCCCATGCTAAAACGGGAGTCATCGTGGCCAGAGCATAGCACATCCGGGCCGCAAATTTGACACCCCTGTCCTAGTCCCATTGTATAGGGCTTTAGTCGGGGCCCCATTTGGAAAACTATCCAGTTCTGGAGACCTCACTTTAAAAAGATATTGATAAGATTGAGTGAGTTCAGAGATGGGCAACAAGAATGGGGCAAGTCTGAGGAGCAAAGCATTTGATAATCACATGACTACCATTCAACAAAAATTAATTTTTTTAAAAAAAAAGATAATTTAAAAAAATAAGTGTAAACAAAAGCAAAAACAACAACAAAAACTCTCAAATACAGACTTGATGGACCACTAAGTCTTTCTGCTGTCAGTTTTCTGTTTTTTTTCTATGCATCCAACTCCTTCCCATTTGATCTATCAAAACAGTCTGTGCAAGCTCAATATGCATTACATGAACAAAAAACACATATCACCCAAAAGGGCCTTTTAAACCATCAAAGGATAAAAATAAAATCACCACATGGCAATCTGAAGATTTGTCTAATTGATTTTTAAACCTTGGATGTTTTCTGATGGATTAACAAAACCTGGAGTGATCCTCCTTAGCAAGACTCCATTATCAACACTCCATTCCAAACATGGCCAGCAATGGATAAGAGAAGGAAAAGGCACTGCAATAAATAATCCTTGTGCCATTTTTTTTTCAGAGAGACAGAAAGAAAAATTAAAAAACAGCCTTCGTTCTCTTCCTCCACCCCTTTTGGAAACCTCATCCAAGTTTGCCAGCCTGAAAATAGCAGTATTTCCATATCAGTTTTAGCACAGAAGAGCTCAAGGTCTGGCCAATTATTAACAGGTACTAAAAATAATCAACTGCAGCTGGCTTTTTACTAATTTCCCTTAATGATTTCCACTGTACAACTCTTTATACACTTATCAACTCAGCCATAAAAGAAGTTCACAGCAGGTGTCAATCACACATGCTAAATGGTTTAGAGAGCTAGCTTCACTATTTCCTCCTACTTGGACCACTGGAAAGTAGAATTGGAGAAAGGACCATGGTTTTGATGTTTCAAGGTTGTTTTTAATTTGCTTGGAATCTTAGAGAATTAATGAGGAGGGAGCAAAATATAAACATTAATCCTTTCTATTATCTATTAATTAAAATCTATTTTAATACTTTCTTAATTTTTTCTCACCTCCAGCTAGAAAGCTAGCAGGATGCAATGACATTAAGAAAGAAAGAAATTTTTTTTTCAATCTTTGCTTACCATATCTACAATGTCAGCCATGGTTAAGATGAAAATGGCAGACATGGCCCAGGTGTTCCTGGCCCAACGAGTTCTGTCAATCCATGTGGAAAAAGACACGAGCTTTTTAGGGAAAACCTGTATTAATAAAAATGCATTATTTTGTTATTTAAATTTATTATAGCACTAATGTAATCCAGCACTAGGACAATAAGGAACATGTTAATTTCCTATGGGGAACAGGAATGGAAAAAAGACAGTAACAATACCATTTTTGTATGCAAAAAAAAAATTAGCCTCAGTCCATAGCATCTTTAGCCATCTCCCTCTTAACAATTAATTGTATTTTCTAGAGTCATTCATTGTTGTCCCAAATTCTGCCCAAAATAAGAGTCACAAGGAAAGACTTCATAGCATTTCAGTAATGGCTGGGTGGTGCTATGAAGACACTATAAATTATTAGCAGAAAAATATCCTCAGTGCCTTTTTACCACCCCAGAACTCCTGCCAGTTATAACGATACTGTTTTCTAGATTTTGAGAAGAGAAACATAAAAAAGGAAAACCGCAATCCTTCCAAAATAAGACTATCAAACACACTGATCCTATCCATATAAACCACTGCAACTTAAAAAAAACCTTAAGCAGCGGGCTATTTTTTCTAGGGGGGCAGGGCTTAAGGGGCAAAATGGATGCCTTAAGCTGCTGCAAGGGAAATTTTCACTTTTGTCTCTTAAGTCCCCTCAATTAAAACAAGCACAGAAGCTGCCCAGCAAATATGGCTGTGTCTACTCAAACTGACTTCACAATGGCACCATCCACAATCAAGATGGAAAGTCATAGAGTTGAAAATATATAAACACATATGCACTTCCATACACACAATAAGAAATATAGGAGTTCTACTATTATAGCTTAAATGGAACTTGAAATAAGAAATATTTTCATAGAAACACAAATATTTCTGGTAGTATGGTGATAAAACCTTGACTTGGCATTGAAGAATGACAAAGGGTGAGATTCCTACAACAGTTAACAATTGTATGTTTTGGAGATCTTACCCTGGGAAAGATGGCAGCAAGTGAACAAAGAGTCAAGATGAGTAGAAGGATTTCGCCAACAACAAATGTCACATAATTTGCTAGCAGCCTGCAGCAGAATAGGAAATTAAAAAAAGAAACCATCAGATATAAAGAAGATCAAAGATCAGTATTTTGTTCTGATTGAAGAGACAGTCAAATTCCCTGTTACAAAAGAATATTTTTGCACATATTTTTTGGCATTATTTTATATAATTGTTTCATTCTTCTTGCTTGCCACCTATTCCTGAAGGTTCTGGGCAGATAAGACTGACATAAAAATTACTGATTCTCCCCACCCCTCAAACACACAACCCTAAATATATATTAAAACACCAACAATATAAAAATGAAAAAAATGTATGTAAATATATGTCTGCAATCACCACCTTCATGTGCCCACACATCCTCTTTCTGGACAGGACTAAACAAGTTTTCATAATTGTCTTAAAGCCCAAGAGACATGAAGCTGACCAAATTTTTGCCAAAAGGGTTTCAAAAGAGTAGGGGCAGGTACTAAAAACACCAATTTCCAAGTAACAATCCCATAGGTTCTGGAGAAAGTTGCTCCTATTTAATCTAGTTTAATGGGCAGACACAAGAAAAGAACAGTGGGAATATTCATTCACAAGCCAATGACCAGACAAATGTGGCGTAAGCCCATTTCAAGGAACAAACTAATAAAATGTCCCCTAATTCACATGACAGGATGGAGAAGGGAAGCATATTCAGACTTGCACGATTCAAGTAACTATTCTAATAAAAGTAGCTTTACGCCTATATGATGTTGGTTGTTTCTTCATCTGGTTTACCCTAGAGGGGTGACAGCTGCATTCTGTACTAGCTATAGCTTGCATGTAGAGAATTTTATAGTAATCCCAGTGGGAGGTGACTGACCAGGTCTTTTTGAGCCAACATTGCTTGTAATGAATATAAAATGAACAAAAATCCTCCTAGTCCCAGTTATTATCTGCTCTTCAAACAGAAGCTGTGAGTCTTGGAATTTCCTAAATTTCAGGCCTCTGAGCTAAAAAGAATGTTCCTCAGTCATACGATCATGGTCTGGGCACTTGGCAACCGGCTCACATTTACAATGGTTGCAGCATCCTAGGATTACATGATCACCATATGCAACCTTCCCAACCAATTTCTCACAAGCCAAATGGGGAAGATGTTTTTTTTTTTTTGTTTAACTGCAGCAAAAAGATTGTAAAATTGGGTGTAGTCACATGATGCCTCATTTAATAATGAATTTTTCAGTCCCAATTGTGATCGTAAGTCAAGGACAACCCGTATTCTAACAACCCTGTTTGAAAAACGCACAGCTTCACAGATCTAGCTGTACTAACCGTGGATCAATGAAGATTTCCACCATAGCAGTAAAGAACAGGACCACACATGAACAGCTGAAAGCAGCTCCGCTCTGCTTCTCCTTTTCCACAGAGTAACGTGTCTCCATCTCAGGATCAATGAAACGCATGGATAGGCGATAGGTGGACCTGCCTTTTAGCCTGTCAGATATTTAGAACATGTTAGATATTTAGGATCCTCATCTAGGATGTATGGGATTTTTAGAATAGTAGTAAAATAATAAGCTCTCAGTCCAGTTTCACTGAGACTTTAAGAAAAATCATTATGTCTTTAACTGCCTACCATTTGGGGGGAAATATTCTGCTTGTGAACTTCCAAGGGCATCTTATTTAGCCTTAGGAGAATGTTGACTAGAAGGGCCTTTATTCTGATCCTGCATGGGTTTTTTGAACTCGTATCTCAGCAAATAGAAAGCTGCCTCATTCCAGATGAGAATGGCCAACTATCTCAGTTCCGGCATTATTTTTTTGAGGCCTCAGGAACAAAGCAGCTGTTCTGATCACTGTTACTTATGAGGCTGCACTTGGTATGCCCTTAAGAAATTCTTTAAAATCCCCCTAGATGCTATTTAAATCCTCATTTTATTTTGAAAAAATCCCCTATCAGTTTAAATCATGATTGAAAAGTCAGCTGGCTATGCTGTGGATGGCTTGTTCTTCAGTCTTATATAAGCATATGAGAATTAAAAGGATGTTACATTCTTTAAATGCTGTGTGAAGCTATAAATAAATAAATGAATAAATAAACATACATACAAATAAATAAATGTTTATATTACAGAGACAACCAGATAATGGAAATAATTTCTGAACTAAGTAAATCAACCCAGTGATTTTCTGGATAGGGGTCTAACGGAATTAATTCACAAACATAACAAGGATAAATTGCAGCTTGAATTGTAGGATAGAGAAAAAGTAGAAAGTAAATACAATAATAAAAACAACTAAAATTATTTTATTAACAATACAAAATAGCAACCAAAGCAGGACAAGGACCTAAACAAGGACCTAAATCATGGTGAAAGTCTGAAATCACAGCAGTAGTGGACATTTTTGAGAATAAGTGTTATAGTCAAACTGGTAGAGGAAGAGAGAAACATTGGAATGGAGCAAAAAGCACACAATTAGCTCTAAGATGAAAGAAAAGACACCTACGCCTGGATAGATTCCCTCTCCAGCAAGGCCTCATTAAGCAATTCATTGAGTTCCTGCTCATTTTCTGAAGCATCCACCACTCTCTCTGCTAAGTCGCGTAAGCGAAGGCGCCTTCGAGGGTTGGGAAAGGAAGGATTCACTACCTGGATAGAAAAGAAGGCAAATAAAAAGTTGTATTTCACTTTCTACTGAAATTTAATTAAACAAGAATTTGTTTTTAAAAAAGCACAATTTTATTTATTTGTCTGTTAAATTTATTTGTTGCCTATCTTGCAGTTCAGGGTGACTCTGAGCGCTTCTTTATACCAAGTAGACTGATGGATTTGTTCTTTGCTACCTCGTCTATTTCCCCACTCCCACCCCATCCATCCAGATTTCAGATTCAGATTAACAGAGCTGGAAGTGACCTTGTAGGTCATCTAGTCAACCCCACTGCCCAAGCAGGAGATCTTACACCATTTCTGACAAATGGCAGTCAAGTCTCTTCTTGAAAGCCTCCAGTGATGGTGCTCCCACAATTTCTGAGGGCAAGCTGTTCCATTGGTTGATTGTTCTCACTGTCATAAAATTTCTCCTTATTTCTAGTTTGAATCTCTCCCTGATCAGTTTCCATTCATTATTCCTTGTCTGGCCTTCAGGTGCCTTGGAAAATAGCTTGATCCCTTCCTCTCTATGGCAGCCCCTCAGATATTGGAACGCTGCTATCATGCCTCCCCTGATCCTTCTCTTCACTAAACTAGCCATGGCCAGTTCCTGTGGTTCTCTTCCTTCCCAGTCTAACTTCATCTCTATTTTTGAGCATGTGGACAGTTTTACAAAAAAAAAAAAAAGTTACTTACCAGCCAATAAAAACATGCAATTTTCCATTTATTTTTTAAATTAAAATAACTTTAAAAACAAGGAACAAAGAAGGGAATGATAGTCATGTTGCCACACATGGATGACACACCAGGGACATAAGCAAAAGATATACAAAAAAGAATTGTATGATGTGTTCTGTTGAAATAGTCAGCTGAAATTAACTACTGGAAATATTGTGTGCATTTCTCAACTTTCTACTTAGATTTGGACACTTGGATGCCATTCACTTACCGACACTGCTATTTTTACTTGACTTACTACTATTTTTATTGCAGTTGTAGCTGGAGCATATACTTCTGAATGCTTAATTTGACATATTCTCCTTTGTGTGTGTCACTTTTGTCACTGTGTTGCAATTTTATACATACACACCACACACACTTTTTTTTCTGTGCAATGCCCAAAGAAAATATCTTTGCAATATTTTCTGATCTTGGAAGAGATGCCACTCAAGTTTTTTAATGTATTATTCAAACTAATAAATACAAAATTTAGAAAACATTAAATACCAACTCCATTCAAAGGTGTTGTTGAAAAGGCAACTGGTATACCAAGAAAGTCCAGTTGTCTTTTCAATAGCATCTTTGGGACAATCATGAGCAGGATGACTGAGACTCTCCATAGATATCAACTCTACTACAAATACAAAAAGTACAGCAATAAAGAAAATGAAAAGAGACTAGAAATCACATTAGCATATCATGTCAAGGTCATCTTTGTCCCAAAGACTAATTAAAATGTTAGCAAACAATACATATCAGCAATATTGCAGCAAACCAAGCATAGAATTCTACTTCCAGTTATATATAATAACCCCTTTAGCCAATCTTTGCCTTCAAATCCACCATTCTATTGCTTGATAGATTATATATCCTTAACAGTTGACCTAGAGTCACTTTAACATCCTGTTAATATTACCCAAAATGCAACAAAACTAGGACAAGTTCAAACCAAGTAGACTAAAGGATCAACTATGTAATAGTTGAAATAGCAGGGTATGCAACCTATATTAAGGCTTCAATTATACATTAAGCGAATTTAGTGCTTAGTGTATACTTGCTTGATCACTTAGCAAGTATATACTGGAGTACCTAGCAATTTTACATTGGATTATTCTTATTTTAAAAACACAGGGAACTAATTCCATGGTGTTTAAGACAAACCGTCATTGATATAACTCAGCCGTAAAGCACACTCTCTGCATGCAAATAGTTTCTTCTTCTAGGCCTAGGAGAAGTGTAACAGATGGCACAAGTCAACAAACTTGACTGAACTTTATACCAATCCTCATCAGAGGCCTAAAGACAGGCAAGTACTTATTAGAGGGCTTCTTGACACAACCCTCTCATGTTTGGAACTTTATTACAAAATTAATCTGATATTCAATGTCTTTTGTTTATTCTCCCTCCCGCACAACCTGCACCCATGAAAATGTTTTTGTTTTAATGCTGGATTTACTGCTCTTAAGCTTGCTGTTAGTTTTTATTACCTGGTTAAGATCAACTGGTTATTGATTCAATTTTCATTTTTTAAAGATTTTATTTTTCAAAAGCATTTTAAAATGTTCATTACCCTAGAAGGATTTTAGTAATGATCACTTTTCTATCCACAACCCCCTCCCCCAATCTATGCACGTGCAAATATACATAATTTTTATGCCTATGGAGATTCTCAGTCATCCAGGTCATGGTTGTCCCAAAGGTGCTTTTTTAAGAGGCAACTGGACTTTCTGGTTTTTTTCTGAAGACGTTTCTCTTCTCAACCAAGAAACTTCATCAGCTCTTCTTCACCTCAGAACTAAAAAAGTTTCTTAGATGAGAAGTGAAACATCTTCAAAGAAAAACCAGAAAGACCAGTTGCCTCTTGAAAAAGTACCTTTGGGACATAAATTTTATGTATTACACATAAGCAGCTTTTCTTGGAACACATTTCAAGGAAGAGTTTATTTATCTTTCTCTATCCGATCTGCCCCTTTACCCTAGTATCTGATTCTTCTGCCTCATCTGGGGTTGTGCAGGTTGTATTAATGCTCCCATTGCATTCTTTGGTGTTGATCAACTGAGGTGAGTTCCCATGGGAGGATGAGACAGATAACTTCTGTAACATGAAACAGAAAAAGAAACAGAGCAATAAAAGAAACAGAACAATGTGTACAAGGCTAGGTTATCTAAATTAAGTATCCAAAAGGAGAGTAAGACCTCTTGTCACAATGTTCTTCTCTAAATGCAGAGAAGTCCCAGTCAAAAGAACTTTTGTGTTAGAAAGAAGAACATTAGAATAGCCAATAGCAGCAGAAGTATCAAGATAATCTGAATTAAAATCAAGCATCCACCTGACATGATGAAGCTAAAAGGACAAAGATAGATGAGAGCATGTTCTTCTCTTTCCTCTGATCCTAACAAAGCTGATATATCCATTCTTTTCAAAGAAACTAGTGAAAGGAATACTCACCACCCCATTGATCCCATTCTTGAGTGCCTGCTTCGGTACTATTATGAGGTAGGTGGTAATCCCCTTTTCCATTAGGTATTCACATCGTGACCCACCATCTCCTGGTTCCACCTCAAATTCTCCTTTTAAGCAGTTCAAGGTGCTCTGAGAAATGTGTACACGCCTAAAAGGACCACAGAAAATGCAGTCAGCCTTAATAAAGGTGAAAAATGTGACAGCTGTTGAAGAAAAAACTGGAGAGAAGTCCAGAATTTCAAGGGCTTTCAGAATTAACACAGAATATACTACTTTCCTGAAATAAATAGAAAGTATTTTTCAGTATGACATCCCTGATAAATTTTTATTAAGAATTTTTATTCTAATACTAAAATCTATACTAGCTAAACTGAAAGAAAGAAAGAGAGAGAGAGAGAGAGAGAGAGAGAGAGAGAGAGAAAGAAAGAGAGAGAGAAAGAAAGAAAGAAAGAAAGAAAGAAAGAAAGAAAGAAAGAAAAAGGAAAAAGTGCAAGGAAAAAGAAAAAGGAGAAATAATAAAGAGACAAGAAATATACAAAGAAATGCCTTCCAAATTTCACCACCAGTAACACATTTAGAGACTTCATCACTTCCAGAGTTACAATTATCTCTTCATCTATCATTCAGTCCATATCTATAGAGAAATCCATAAAACAGTATTTTCAATTTTGGTGTCAGCAGGAAAAGGCTGCCAGTAATATGTAACAACGTATCTTCTTTTAATTTTACTACCAGTTCTGTGGGTGTGGCTTGGTAGGCATGGCAGGAGAGGGATACTGCAAAATCCGCATTCCCTCCCCATCCCGCTAACCTGCTTTCCAGCTCCATTCTCCTGTACAGGGCAACAAATGAAGACCCAGCCAATCAGCTGGGACGGGAGGCAGAGAATAGGCGAGGGCGGAGCCAGTCAGAGGTGGTATTTGCTGGTTCTCTGAACAATTCAAAATTTCCGCTACCGGTTCTCCAGAACTGGTCAGAACCTGCTGAATACCACCTCTGCTTTAACCTTTTTAGACTTTTTAGATGTTTTTTGTGTCGTATATATGTGTGTATCTGGGTATATCTATAATGGTGATGTTTTGAGAGCTGAATGCAATGAAATTTAATTTTAATGTATTAGTGTACATTTAAAGCAACAATAAAGTTCCTATTCTATTCTTTTCTATTTTAACCTTGATCAAATACACAATTTTATATTTCTTCCTTTTACTTCTAACAGTCTCAGTATTAGTTCATTCAAAGATTTTCATAGGATTTGATTTCTCTTCATTTCTTCTTTATCTGTCAGTCCTCCTAGGTAAACCAGGCAGGAAAACATGACAAGATGAACTAATTCTACTTTGCTATAAGGCTATATTAACAGAATCCTCCAAGTCTGAAAGTACAAACTTTCCACTGTCACTTTTAACTGCTTCATCCATTAAAGTGGGTCATTGTTTTCTGACTATGAAGTTCCTGCCTTTCTTGTCTAATTGTTTCCTAGCCAGTATCTCTTCCACTCACATAGTGGAATGTATAAATGACATCCACAAATCTCACTCATTTTCCCATCACAAAGAATTTTTCAGGTCTTTAATAAACCTCTTTTATAAATCCCATAAGAAAAAAAATTATCCAAGTGACTTTCTTGGTTTTTCATTTATATTTCCATTTTGACTTTTAAAACATTAGCAGGGTTTTGTTTTTGTTTTTATATATTCAGTGAGACATCCATTTCCGTCATTTTTTAGCCTGCCCTTAAAATCCCCTTTCAGTACCATTTCTATTTTGTCAGATAAAGTTGTTCCATTTCTATCATTTCTTCAGTAGTATCTTTTTGATGTCTATTCATAGAGTCAAACATCATGACTACTGTTGATATTATAGCCGCTAATTTCTGGTTGCATTCTTCAAAAGTCTCCTTTAATATTTTCAGTGTTAGAACATTTTGCATTATTTTGTAGGTCCAGTTAACTAACACAGAATGGGAGCTTTATTTTTATCCCTCAGCTGAGAGTCTTGTTCTTTCTAGTGTCCAATTTTTAAAAAATTACTTATCTTTGTTACATTTTGCAATCTTACTTGTTTATTTAAATTATTTAAATTCTTAAGCTTATGATTAATTATTTTTTCATTCAGGGGTGAAAAAGAAATCACCTAGTACTTTCAAACTTAAAAGAAGTTAATAAGTAAATAAGAAATTTGTGAAAGTGATTAGAAAGTAAAATGAGCAAACTTAGTATTCTTTGAAAGGTGCTGACCATGGTTGTAAGCAAGGTGGCTATTCCCATCGTCTCCTAACATTCACACTGATGGGAGACTGCTGTCCTGTACTGGTACAGAGCAGCAACCTAGAGCAAAAATGGGCAATCTTCCATCCTCTCCTTTTCCAGAGGGGTTCCAAGGAACCTGTCTACTCACCAGTTCCTTGGTTTTTGTTACAGTCATCAGTTCTGCTTTCGCAGAGACATATTCAGTCCTTCATTCCTTCCCCTGAAGCCCACAATAGTATATTATCACGCACTATCTTTCCCAAGTTTTATGACACCATTTTCAAAATAAGCAACAACTGGATACTGCCTCAGCGCACACAAATATCACAGCTTCACAAACTACAAATTCCTCACTGTCTAGAAATCAAAGCCAGGAAGTGTTGCTTTTCATTTGTACTACCGGTGCTTTGGAATAGTTTCCTAACCAAGGACAGACCAACCACTTTCTTAATGGCTTAATTTTCTTAATTTTATTTTTGTAGTTTTATCTGGTTTTGATTTTTATGTTTGTTTTACATTTTGTTTGTGTTGTTATTTTAGAGCTGGGCTTTGGTTGTGCTTGTGGCTTATTGGCACATATGTTACCAAACTGAACAGTAGAATATTTATTGTTAGTAGGGAATGTGTATGCAATATGAATATAATTAAGGTTAGTTTATAACTCGCTTTCTCTCCATTTTGAAAAGCATAAATGAATGCACATATGGATTTTAATCCGTGCAATATTAATGCAAAAAAAACAATAAAGAACCTTGCTGAAAGGGCATAGGCAATCTAAATCCAATCAGACTAAATAGGGTCAACTCCTTCCAGGTATTATATGTACAAGATTGTAATCAGAAAGGTTTTCTGGAAGGAGGGATTTTCAGTCATTGCCTCCTCCACATTTTGGAATTCTCTCCCCACAGAGATCCCATCTCCTCTTTCTCTCCTAGTTTTCAGAAGGGATATCTTAGGATAAAATTTTAGGATAAAAGGAAGACATGTTGTAAGTGAAGGCTGGAATCAGGTGGGAACATGAGCGTCTACATTTTCTGTTTATTTTTATTGATTTTGTCAATTTTACTTTTTGGCTTTATATTTACTATTTTTCAAAAGGTTGTTTTTACCAGGTTGTTCGCCATCCAGAGCCTGCAAGAATGGATAGCATACAAGTGCAATGTAATGTGATGTACAGTATGTGTTTATACATTTCTAAGTGATCCTGAAGCATATCCTAAGAACAGGTGCCTTGTTTTTACTGCAAAACAGTGAGTCTAGCTGCTAGTTAAAAATCAATACTGCCCTAAACCTGGATGGTGTTTTCAACAGAAGATCTGGTTTTGGATTTTTAAAGTTTGCAGTATTAACATACCTTCTAAACAGAAGTTAAAACCGTATGATTCTTTGTAACACATTTATAACAATAGTCCTGGGAAAACCAGTCCTAAAGAAGCACTTACCCAGGGATGCCACCTGCTTCCATCTTGTTAGCTACCGTTACATCTGTAGACCATACATCATACTGCCAACGTTTCTGCCCTAGGACTCCACCAAGGACAGTGCCGCTGTGCACCCCCACACGCATGTCCACATCTGTTTTGGTCTTCTCTCTTACATAGCTTTAGAGGAATAAATTAATAATAAGCAATATTTATCTCAAAAGACTGGTTATTTCCTGTTTCTGCACTTGAAAAGGCTTTGCTATGGCTGCTTTTATTGTGCATAGGGCTTCATTGCTGCTAAGTGCAGTAGGAAGGAAAAGAAAATAAACAAGAAATATGAGGTTGCTATAATTGTTTCGGTTCCATTAAGGGAACACAAACCTCCTCAATATAATAGTCTCCGGATGTGGGTAGACTACAAGGGCCCTTCATCTCAGGCATCATGGACAAACTCAGGTTTTGAAGAGGATTTGAATACAGGAATAGGCACACTAATAAAAATTAACTCTAAATGCAAGATATGGCTTTTCAGATAGCACGCGGGTGGGGGGAAGCTATAGCTCGGTAACACAACTATTTCTTTAAAGCACAAGGGTCCCCTGTAAAACCCTGGCCATTTAGATAGGGCTGGAAAAACTATGGCCAAAAAACATGATGAGTTCTATCACTGTCAACAATCTTGATTTGGAGCACTAAGGAAACAGTTTTGTTTATTCTTATGAAATCTGAACTTGTGCCAGATTCCAAAGATTGCCTAATAATCTAGCTCTCCTTTTCTCCTCTCTTTTATTTCTCTAGCTTGTTTCTATAATTGAGCTGTAAAACTAATTTCAATGTTGCTATTCCTGTAATTTTACATAAATATTTTCAAGGCCGAAATTTTCCATTCCTAAGACTTTTCTAAGCATGGAATTTTGTTTTATAGAGAGACCAAATTAGCTGGAAAGAGATTGTTTAGTTATCATGGTGAATGAAAAAAAGACCAGGGAACTTTTTTTTTCTGAATCTCCAGCTAGAAAAGATAAACTAAGATGAAAATTTACAGTTCAGAAGCAACCACACAGGGGAAGATTTCTACACAATTAACCTTTAGGTGAAAAATATGAAAGTATATATCAGGAAATAATGATATAATAAATATTACTGTCTTTAATTACAGTAGGGCAACAGAGAAGGGGGAAAGAGTTCTGTAATCAAATGGAGAATCTTGCAGTGAGGCTTATTTATGCATTTATTAAATTTATTTGCTATCTATCTCACTCCTGCAACTCTGACTTTAATAAATTACCTAAAGCAAATGAACTAAGCAAATATGGCTCTCCCATCTGTAATTCAATAAAATTCTTATAAAACAATATATTTCACACAAAAATATTCCTTGGCAACTTCATATAACAAGAGTTGTTCATGTGGGAAAAAGAAAAAAAAACTTGAGTGAAAAAAAAAGACAACAACCCAGGCCGGAAAAACCAAAAACAGCATTCAAATTTGCAAAGTGTGAATGCTTACGAAATAGCTTCCACCATAGCAAGACCCATCATGATTGAGCAAGCAGCATGGTCCTCACGGTAGTCTGGCAATCCACAGATACAGTAGTAGCAGTCACCCAGAATCTTGATACGCAGTTGGTGGTATTTCTGTAACAATGCCATTTTTTTAAAAAAGTAAGTATTTAGGATTTTCAGATTTCAGAAACCTGCATTTTACTTTTAAACCTATTATTGAATCATGGAAAAGGCTGCCATGGGTTCCCTGCCTCATTCATCTTCTGACCCCAAATAGTAATAGCACTTAGCAATTTACAATGCTTTACAGTCCTCTCTAAGCGGTTTACAGAGTCAGCATATTGCCCCCAACAATCTGGGTCCTCATTTTACCCACCTTGGAAGGATGGAAGGCTGAGTCAACCTTGAAACTGGTGAAATTTGAACTGCCAAATTGTAGGCAGCCTGCAGAAAGCAGGATTAGCTTGCAATACTGCGTTCTAACCACTGTTCCACCTTCCAATTATGGCGCAGCACACTAAGATCCCTAGTTGATCGTATACAGTATGACTCCAATTACACGTGATTCCTTTTTGGAACCATAATACAAAAAGGGAATAAAGGGAAGCAATATTTCAGGCTGCCTCAAGAAGTCTGCTGTACTTTTGAAGTTATCACAACTAAAAATCGATTCTATGAGATATTCTCTCTCATTCTCTGAGTATGATAGCACAAGAAATATTCAGATACACTAGAGAATGTTCAGAGAAGAATATAACATGAATGATCAGGGAATTGCAAACTAAACCATATGGCAAGATTGAAAAACTAAGGGAATTGCATATATTTAGCTTGAGAAGATGGGGGGAAGGGAATAGATGCAATCATGTTTCTAATACATGAATGGATGTCACATGAAATTAGATCAACACCATATGGTTTTTCTATATCATTACAATTGTCCAATGGTTCTTCATGCACCTCTTGATTCAACTCTTAAAGCAGCTACAATTTTTAGGCTCATGTGGTAGTCTGAAACTGCCTTAATGAACAGCAGAGTTCATTAAAGTTTTCAAGCAAAGTTTGAAGCCCTTCTAAACCATTTTTAAAGCATGCACAACCCTAATATTTATTCAAAGTTATAATCAGTAATCAACTCAAATTAGTTTTTTTTTAATTTTCTACCTTAATTTAGACAAACATCATTCTATATATCAGTTCTTCAACTCCCAAATTTAAACTTTACTACTAAAGACAAATTTAGAAATCGTGAACATTAAAACCACAAAAAGATTTTCATATTATTGCTAAGTTACTCAAAACCCTGAAATATTGAAAATCAGTTAACCATCATAACTGAGCGTTTATTTATTTACTTATTGTTTGTATACAGTGTTGCACATGTGACCCTCAACGTACAACTATTCATTTAGTGACCATTTAAAGTTATGACAGCACTGAAAAAAGTAACTTATGACCCTCACAGAATCCTATGGTCACGTGCCATGTTTTGGGTGCTTTGCAATCAGCAGGTGTTTACCAGCAGGGTCACCTGTTCACCATTTGCAACCTTCCTAGCTAGCTACCAACAAGGAAAGTCAATGGGGAAGCTGGCAGGAGGTCACAAGTCTGGTCACGTGATGTCTTGCTTAATGACTGTGGCATAAAATTTCGTAAAACTGGGTACAGTCTTGTGATGTGTCACTTAATGACCATCCCACTTAACAATGAATCCCAGTTGGATTTAAAGGAGAAAATCTGTTTTAGAACACAGGAGGTGCTCAGATAATTCTTTCCGACAATTCCTTATAGCATTTGTGTGTTTTTCTGGAGTCACATAGTTGTTCCCTCTTGTGGCAGCATGATCACAAGAAAACATCTCGTTTAAGAAGTTGCCAACAGGAGTTACATGAACACCACTGTGTATTCCAAAGCAGCTTTTACCTTCTGGCAAAAGTAAATTCTACTTTCATAGTTCACAAAACTGTCCAAACCTTCATATCCTATATTTACTTCTTAAACATTTTTTAACATTGTACAAAAAGAAACAGTGGGAAAATACAAGGGAATTACATGTGTAACATGCCGTCATCTGAAACATTTCATGAAGAAGATAGATTGATTTGATTATAATCAGAATCACCCTTTGTAATTCTTTAACCTACATTAATTTACAGATTGCTGAAATGTTCACTTTTAGTAAATAGTAGAATAATTTTGGCAAAATCCAGATTGGATAAGATGGCTCCATTTTTGTGATAAAAGAATTTGGAGGCTTTATTTCTTATATTTTCTGAAATGAAATCTCATAATTAATTATTATTATATAATTAAATAATATTGTAATAAATGCTAAAGTAGAGTTTTCAGTTTGTTTACTCTTTAGCATATTTAATCTAAATAATTTGTCAAGGTAATAAAATAATTATAGTTCATAGCAAGAATACCTTGCAAAATTAATTAATTAATTAATTTGACAAGCAAACAACTCCAAAAGAGATATGGCTGCTAATACAAAATAATTATCATGAGCTGAAGAAAAAAACTAATGTGCCGTAAATCTAAAGTAATTTCTGAAATAATTCTTATTCCAATGCTCATTATAGTAACATCCATAAACACATTTACAGGTAGTCCTCAACTTACAACAGTTCATTTAGTGACTATTCGAACTTATAACAGCACTGAAAAAAGTGACTTATGACTATTTTTCACACTTATGACCGTTGCAACATCCCCATGGTCATGTAATTTACATTTAGATGCTTGGCAACTGGTTTTTATCTATGATGGTTACAGTGTCCCAGGGTCATGTCATAATCTTTTGCGACCTAAGCAAAGTCAATGGGGAAGTCAGATTTATTTAACAACCATGTTACTAACTTAATAACTACAGTGATTCACTTAACAAATGTGGCAAGAAAAGTTGTAAAACAGGGCAAAACTAACTTAACAAATTTCTCAACATAAATTCTGGGCTTAATTGTGGTCCTAAGTCAAGGACTGCTTCTATTTTAAATAGCTGGCATAATCATGTACTGTAGCAGCTTCATTCTCCTGTATTGTCTTTAGTCCTATTTATGAGATTTAATCCATGTGCAAACATTGCCCTCCAGATGCATTTCATTACAGCCTCCATAGTCCTAGCCAGATGGCTAAGAAAACAAATGGATAGTCAAATCAAATATCTCAAGCAATGCTATAGAAACTTTATAATTAAAAAGTACTAAATCTATCTGATATTTGAATACATTTAAGAATGACATCAGTGGGGCACAAAATCTTGTTTGGAAGTTGAATATATTACAGTAAGATATAGTTATTTATCCATCCAGAACTCTCAGTATAATCTCAAAAAATGTTTTATATTTGAATGTGGTTCTGCTTGGTATTATTTATTTCTAAATATGTAATTTCAGCCAGATTTTTAAAAAAAATATAGAATGGCTGTTTGACAATAACTCTTTAAAAATGGGAAATAAAAGCAGAAGGGCAGGAAAGCTTAACCTCATCTCTGATAAATCTCCTCCCCTTTTATTGGCGCTTGTATTTCAGAATTGTGTTTGTCTGCTTCTTCTTCATTTTTAATTTGCTTCAAACTGCATAAAGTCATAGTTACATATAAGAAGGGTAGTTTGGATTACACACAATTTGCTCCAAATATCTAAAGGATTTCCAGAATTATATGTAAGTAAATAATCAAGACTGATCCAGAAACTCACAGCTGCTAGTTTATCAAATCGAGCAAAGAGTTCGTTCAAAAGTTTCACCAATTCTTGGGCACTGCATGCGGATGACAGCTGTGTGAAACCTACGATGTCAGCAAAAAGGATGCTGTAGAATGAAAGACATGAGAGCCAAAACAGGTGAGATGTCATCAATTAACTTAGCTGCAACAAAAACAATTTATGATGGCTGTTGTACCATTTGGTTTATTAGTCTCTCTCATCTGAAATTTAGTCTCACTGTCATCAGTTCTTTGATATTTCCGCTTTTCTGCTTTAATTCTACTCCACATTGATGTTTACTAGCTTCTTCTATTTCAGAAGTGTACAGCGTTTAAGGCATCAGGAGCTGCAACTGACTCCCAACTGTGTGGAGGGCCCCAAGAGGCTATCTGCTACTTTAATAATACAGTGAAATGACCTACCTATTTTTGCTCAGTTTTTAGGAAGCATGTAAGGGTGGGATTGGGAACAGGAGGCCTCCTAGTGTCACACCATTCCATTCCCATTCTTAAAACCAGGGGGGGATTCTACCGGATCTGACCAGTTCTATAGAACCCCTTGTTAACTTTATAAGCAGTTCTGAGAACCGATAGTTAGAAGAAATCTCCTTTTGTTTTTTTTCCACCTTTGTTACATTCTTGGCAGTATGACTAGACTTACTGTCTCTGAAGGAGGGGTTTTTTTTTCTTGATACTTTCTTAAAGGGGAAGGATTGTTTTAAGCTTTTTACACTGCTGTTTGGAGGAAATACTCCCCTGGAAATACTTCTTCTTGGCTAGCTAGAAAGATTGACACTTAAACGTGAGTTTACATACCCTTTCTGGGTTTTGATCTAAAACTGGTTTTTGGTGAAGTTTAATTCTGTGCTTGGTGACATTTAATCCTGTGTTTATTGTTGGTATAATTTTCCCTATTCAGCTTTGTTTGGAAGGAAAAAGATTAATCTCTGTTCCTGAAAAGAAACTGGGTTGAGAAATCTGGCTAGTTCCTGTGTCTATTTGTTCTGGTAATTGGTTTAACAAGCAACAGCTACTGTTGTGATTTAATTATTTGTATCGTGTTTGAATTTTTCCCTGCCTCGTGGTTTCTTTTTCTATCTGGGGAGGGGGTCTTCCTTCACTGCTTTAGTGGTATCTGGCACTGTCCTTTTGAGGGTATACTTCCAAGAGACAGGATGAAAGCTTGGCACTGATTTTTTTTACTGCCTTTCTGGGGGGGCATATGACCTTGCCTTAAATATGGATGATTCCCTTAGGATATCTTGTGAGATGTGAGACCAGCTAGTATCTTTAAGTAGTGCAAATGGATCTAAGGATTGTTTTTCCTGAGTATGCTTTTTCTGGAGAGCTTAAATGACCTCTCTGCTAAAGAGTTTCACTTTATGAGCAAGAGTTGGCTGCTTGATAGTTATCATTGCATTTTAACTATTTTAATTCCTCAAGGTGGTCTGGCACCCTGCCTGATTTGTAACTCGAGCTTGCAGATATTTTTAATCTAATGATTGGTATTTAGGACAGCTTTTTGCAAGCAAAAAAAGCTGTTTATATTTTTGTACAGGTAATCTTTGACTTACAACAGTTCATTTAGTGACCATTCAAAGTTACAATGGCACTGAAAAAAGTGACTTATGATCGTTTTTCACACTTATGACTGTTGCAGCATCCCCACAGTCATGAGAGGCCAGGCGAGGAGAAGCGCCCCTTGACGTGAGTGACATGGAGTTGGCCATGACCACCCAGTCACATGGCCACCAAGCCACACCCATCAATTAAGCCACATCCACAGAACCGGTTGTTAAAAAATTTGAATCCCACCCTTGTTTAAAACTCCTATCACCACCACAAAGTCCCATATTTGGCTGTTAGGATTTCAGTGGTACAGGTTCAGGGTGCTTGCTGGAGAAACCAGTTTGCATAAAGTGTCATGAAGAAAAGAATTGCCTACTTTTGCTCTGTTGTTTTATTCCAACACTAAAGTGTTACTGTAAGTGCAATGCGGGTGCTAGCGTTGCTATGAGCGTAACGTGGGCACTAGTGTCGCTGCAAGCATCGTGCGTGCTTGTGGCCCTGTTTGCACAAGGGGGCGTTTGTGTGTATGTGTGTAGGGGCAGGCAGGTAAAGGCCCCTGCCCCTCCCCCCCTCCAGGCCACCAACCCTGAAAGATTGGGGGAACTCTGATCTACAGAATATCCTCCTTAGAAGAGCCACATTCATTACCTGACATTTTCATGGCGGTACATATACATGGTGTTGAACTGTTGCAATTCTTTTTGGCTTGCATCTTTCTTCATATCCTTCAGCATTTCATCTGCTACATGTCTGGGCAAAATAGAAAGCATCAAACCTTCCTAAAATGGAAAAATAAATAGACATATTGAAAAGATGGCAGAATTATTAAAAGAACAATTAATACTGGAGCAGATTACACCAGAAGCATGTAGAAGATATTTCAGGTACTATGGGGATGTTTCCTTATTGTGAGAAAGTGAGAAAGAATGAAAGCTCAAAATCATGTCTTTCATTCAGAAATGTTCTTCCAGATATGAACAATTCGGCAGTATCCGCTCCAGACTCTGATGACTTATATAATGCCTGAAAGAACCTGTCAGCAGCATCTATCACAGTAGTCTTCTGGGCCAATTGTCACAAACTTTTGTAGTAATTCTTGTTTTATCACCAACTGATCTGGTGTGGATTATCACATTCTGAAATCATGAGAGTAGCTTCTGGCAGCTGATAGTTAGGAATCATGAAGGAAAAGCAGCACTCAAATTGAGGTATTGCAAAAGGCAGTTAAAGGAGTGTCATTGTTCTGCATCATGGCTTCTGACCTAGCCCTACAGATAAAACTGAACTGCATAGAAAATGGTTGACCATCATATACACACAATATGACTACCATATGAAATCTCTTCTTTGCATTATTCAAAATCTGTATGATGATAGAGCGGCTACTCCAACTCCTATATGACAAGAAATAACGGGAAAACTTCATCAGAACTATTTAGGCAGTACTAAATGTAAGGAATGCACTAGATCAGGGGTGTCAAACTCATGTCATCTTATGACATATCGTGACTTCCCCCCATTCCTAAACCAGGTGTGGACGTGGCCAGCACATAATGCATCCAGTCCGTGGGCCGCGAGTTTGACACCCCTGCACTAGACTTTGTTTTGCAGATACAATTCAGTTTTAAAAATGTGTAGCAGATTGTGAACTTTGCCAAAAAAAACTGTAAAAAGAGCACCCGATACTGTAGTTTTATCACTGCAGAGAGATATTAGAAAAGAAGTGAAACTATTATTTTCAGCTAAGAACTTAGGTCTTAAAAATATAACTGTCATCAATATTTACTTGATTACCAACATGGAATTCACAATCTGCCAGAATTACATCCAGGACCCAATGTGCAAATTAAGCTGGAGGACCAACAGAAATAGTTACAACTGAAGAGAGCCAAGAAGGTACTGTGTTTTTCCAACAATACGGCCTCCACCAATAGGAAGGCCCAGCATGATTTCTAGGCATGGGGTGAAATTAAGCCCCGCCCCCAAAATTTAGGCCTATTTAAACCATGCTTTTCCCCGCCATTTCTCACATCGTTCATTAGAACTACACGAGGTGAAGAGAAATGGGGGGGAAGGGCGGGGGGGATGGGGAGAAAACTTGCCTTTAGGAGTGGCCTGCAGGTAGCCTAGGCTAGAATACCCTGATAGAAGCTCCCTTGAAATCAGAGTCCCCAGCCACTTCAGGGCGTGGCAGGGCTGCCTGTGTCTCCTCTCCTTTAGGCAGTCTATTTCGGGCGATGGAAGCTCCCCAAATGCAGTCACCAGCCACTTCGATCGGCCGGTAGAAGCAGCCTCGGGGCGAGCGCACACACACACTCCCCTCGCCGCGAGGCCGCTTCTATTGGCAGATGAAAGCTCCCTTGAAGGCAGAGTCCCCAGCCGCTTTGGGGCGAGGCATGGCTACCTGTGTCCCCTCGCCTTTAGGGCAGTCTCTTTTGGGTGATGGAAGGTCCCCAAATGCAGTCACCAGCCACTTCGATCGGCCGGTAGAAGCCGTCTCGCGGTGAGGGGAGTGTGTGTGTGTGTGCTTGCCCCGAGGCCGCTTCTACCGGCCGATTGAAGTGGCTGGTGACTGCACTTGGGGAGCTTCCATCACCCAAAAGAGACTGCCTAAAGGCAAGGGGACATGGGCAGCCATGTCTCGCCCTGAAGTTGCTGGGGACTCTGCCTTTGGGGAGCTTTCATTGGCCAATAGAAACGGCCTCGTGGAGAGGTACGTGCGTATGGGCCGCTCTAGGTGGGGGAGGAAATTAAGTCACCCCTGAAAAGACAGCCTAGCTGTTTTTTCAGGGGTCAAAAAAAAATAAGGCCAGGCCTTATTTTGTGAGAAACACGGTAATAATGAAGTAAATATTTTGCAACTGTTATATAAGCGAAAAGGACACACGTATTCCTTAAATCTTGAGGACTGAGTTAGTATTAAGAAAAACTCAAGTTAACCCCCCTCTAATTTACAGTATACAGTAAAAGGTGGGCGAAAAGTAAGGAAAATCTCAACCAGGCTAAGAAGATTGGCCATCTAAGCAAAGAACCCAGCTTCATCTTCAATTTCCTTCATATATCTCAACTGCTCATTAAAACTGAAGCATCAAATTATCCCCACTGTATCTCTTCTGAGAATTCCCCCAGGAGCATTTGAATGGCAACAGCAGTAGCAACAGAAAACATCACTCATTCAAATTCTCTTGGCACTCTTTCAGACCCATCCCGTAAACTACCAACAGTTTTAGCATTTGCCTTACAAGCTCTTCACCATTAAATGGCCACACAACATAGTATCTTCCAAGGCTCCACCAGGCACACATTCCAAAGTCAAAAAAAAAGCGGGTGGGGGTGGGGGAGGAAACTTAGTTGAACCTGACTATACTGCATGTATAAATAGTGTATAAATTGGTGCCAGTTCCACTATCTTGAACATGCTAAGCCCACAACCTCAAAAAAAAAAAAATTACCTTTGTGATTGTATTAGATGCTGTATTCATTTTGTTCATTTTGGTGGTTTAGCATTTGTTTAATAGCTTTTTATGCTGCACTGGATAAAAGTATTGTATTTTCCCTGTTGTTTTACATTCTGTTGTACACAGGTGATTTTATGAAGCTTGTAGAAAATAAAGGAAACAAGCAGGAAAACTAATTCAATTAGGTTACTGGATTCCGTAGAGTGTAAAATATAGTTAACTAAATTGGTTTGTTGCAAAAGGAAGCCATAAAGGAGAACAGGCTCTGTAAAGGAACCAAAGGGGAGTGCAAGATGAGTGTCTTTCTGCTGTGATGCCTCTAGGATCTTCTTTGTGTCATTCAGTTCAAGGTTGGTTTTTTCTTCTATTCAATTGTTTCCAGTTTTCATGTGTTTATGACAGAACATAGGAGAACAAATCCATCAGGAAAAAGATTCAGCAGTCTACCTGCATTTAAAAGACAAAAGCCACTCTTCTGAAGACTGCAAAGTCCACATTTTGGACCGCTGGTTTGAAAGAGGGATCAAAGACGCCCTCTGTGTCAAAATTAAACAGCCTTCTCTTAACTGAAGGGTCAGACGGATACAACATCATCTATCTCCAGTCTACAACACAGTCCTTTCAGCAGTTCCAAGAAGGCCCTACACCCATTTGCATTACTTGGTGACCCTGAGGACACAGATAAATCTCCAGGTGGCCTTAACAGCTCATTAAAAGAATGCAAATGTCTAGCTGTCTGCAAGGAATATAAACCCTTCCTTTCCTCACCATACAGTCAGAGCTGAAGAAGCTTCTCGGGTGAGAAGTGAAACTTCTTCAAAGAAAAACAAGAAAGTCCAGCTGCCTCTTTAAAAAAAACACCTTTGGGACAGTTCTCAGATGCTGCCTAGACAAATCCCTGCATTTTTTTTTCTCCTTCCTATGGCTGAGACTGGCCCAAAGTCATCCAGCTGGCTTTGTGCCTAAGACAGGACTAGAACCCATGGTCTCCCAGTTCCTCACCTTAACCACTACACCAAATTGGCTCTGTCAGTTCAGTAATGAAAAACAATTTGTTCTCCGGAAGATTCATATTTTCAGTGAAGGATTACAAGCTAAGAAGTAGTTCTACACATCTGAATGGCTGGAATTGCGTCCAAATGCTTGGAAACTCTATCTGATAGGAATCAGCATCAAGACCAGCAGTACCTCTGGGCCACTCCTGCAGAAGCAGCTTTACAAAATAAGCTGAGACAACAAAGCATGAAGGGCAACATTATACAAAGTAAATTGTTTTCTATGATGAATACATCACAAAAATTCTACCATGCAAAAGTATTTTCATTTAAATAACACCCAGTCTGGGATTTCCACTTTTGAAATTCCACTGGGTTAGATATTGCCAATCATCTAATTCTAAAAATCACAGCAATTTAATCTGCCATAAAGGAAAAGAAAATCTGAAACTGCAAAGATAGACTTGGAACATGAAATATAAGAACCAATGAAACATAGGAAAGATCAATACAATGAAAGATGAAATGAGACAACTACAAAGCAGCATCTTAGCATCAACAAATTGTGATGGGATCAGACACTTTCAATCAGGAGATCATATTGTTTATTACTCAGAAAATGAAAAACAAAGAAAAGAAGAAACAACGCTACTTTTATACTCAGCAAGAACAGAACTTGGCTACAATGCAATCAGTGACCAAATGATATCAATTAAACTTTTGACAGTACTATAATTTTATTTCTTGTGCCTTCTACCCACAGTAAAACAGCTTAAATTGCTATAACAGCTTTTACCCTGTTGACTTTGTACAAGCTTTGTTTATGGGTTTTTATCTATTCTGTCTTTTTATTTAGGTTAGTAAAATTACAAAAGTTATAGATCTATTCTCTGATGCTACCATGAACTGTTTAAAATTAAATGTGCACTCAGACTCTAAATCTGCAGTTCCAGGAACAAACATGCACTTCTAAAGGACTGTTAGTGCAGCTGAAAATATAATTAATGCTACCTAATTTAAAGTGACTAGTCAATGATGGCCAAGTATGGGTGTTTGTTTTGAACTGTAGCCAGCTCTTGGCACTGAACTCTAGCAAAATTTGACTTCTTCTAAAGCTAAGAATAATAAATGATATAAAGTGAGGGTGCTCTTAATTCAGTATCAGCCACAATACTATGAACAGAAATTATTTTGGATCTACTGGGTTGTATAACTTTTTCTAAGAGTTAATGAAATATGAGAGTTGCTGAGAGTTATAGAGGAAAAGCAGTACCAATCATGTAGGGGAAAAAAAGCTTCACAATGCTCAGAAACTTTATTTCAGAA